AGAGTACATTTTATATTACCCATTTTATAGGACATGGGACATTATTTCAAATATGGCACATTCAGATGTTTGCGATGTTGTAATGGTACCTGTTGGCCAAACAAGTGGTCTCGTTTGCTATTTTATCCTTAGAATGCAATTCCCCATCGCAGTGTTGTCATGGGAGGTAGTCTTTATGACAGTTTCTAAATATTTATGTCAATGGACCTGCCAGGCTGGTTTCTCAAAACATTTAATACTTAGAATATTATGTGTGTTTTTCTTCCTTTTTAGTTCTTAATGCAGAAAATCAGAAAAGAGAAGATAAATTTACTTGATCAGCATGAAAAGAGGAAACCCATCAAACTGGAATAACTTTTTCATGTCAGGACTGACCAGCGATAACTACAAAATATTCTTGAGAGATTGAATACTGTGAAATTTGCTAAGTAACATATACACTTAAAGATGGTTATTGTGGACTTTTAGTATGTCAGTGGGGGTTACTTTTGAAGCATCTGTATTAAAGATGTTTAAATATGTTGGCTAATAGGTATTTCATGAGAAGATCGATACCAAAAATAGAACACAGGTTTTCCAGGATAGCGACAGTGGCACTTATCCTGGGATGTACCTGTGTTTAAAATAAAACCCACAGGAAGAGTCCATCTTCTGATGCGAAGGAGAGGCCTGCTGCACGTGAAAACACACACACACCTTTTCTTGGGTCCTTCTGGAGTTATTCTCTTCTCCAGATGTGGTGGCAAGTGAGGGTACCAGCCGTCATTTCTGTTCTCCCTGTCAGCACTGGATTTTACGGGTTTCTGCTCTGCTGTGCTCATTCCTGGTTCTGACACTCAGAGGCCTGGAGCGCTGATTGTAGCGCTAACACTACTGACAGCATTGTAAACTCGTTTAAACACCACTGTGTGTTTGGGAGGATTTTTAACGACCACTTGTATAATAGCTCCTGTTGTTAATGTTCAGTGGCTTCTAATGTGAAAACTTGTGATCCTGTACTTACTTTGCTAATGTGTGTAGGCAAAGCAGCATCTTCTGTGATGAGTGGGCATCACCAAAAAAAGCTACAAGTAGATAGACTTGACACAACAGGGGCCCGAGGGCGACACGGTACCATGGGGAGGGTTTGTTGTGGACAAATTGCCTACTTTGCTGGAGAAGAGAAAGTTGGTGTTGAACAGTATACTGTTATAAGTTGGGAAATATTAGAAGGGGGAGAGAAATGGCATTGTGTTATAGTTTACATATTTAGCTTGTAAATGCCTATCAAAATGGATTTAAAAAATCAAGTTAATGTTCATTTGAAAATGACTAATCATAATTTACATGGATAATAGTGATTGTTTTGGTTTTAGTTGGTCCTTAATATTTCAGGAAAATAGGCTTTTGCCATTTGTGAATAACTGGCAGAACCATACCAATGGCTTTCAGTGAGGCTCTCTAACTGCCAGGTGGCTGGTGTGCCTACTGAAATATCTGGAGCTACAGGATTGGGATGCGGTCTCCTCGGGCATTTGGTGGGACTCCCTCGCTTGGAAAGGAACCTGGCCTCACACCCAGGGTGACTTGCTGTGCCCCTGAGGCAGCACCTGAGGCAGCACCTGCATTGCCTTCTAGCAGCTCTACAACTTGGATGTTTTTCTGTATAACCCCTTTTACCTAATTGCTAACACTGAACTTTCCCACACAGAAAAGGCACCTAAGAATATAAAAGTAGCTCTATAAGATTTTATCTAAGTCCGTATTCCACTCCCTTTTGCAAATAATTGATTCATTTCAAATTTAGTGTGCAGAGTTGCTGATAAATGAAATACTGTTAGTCCAGCTTTTAAAACTTCCAGTTTTCCCTTCACCTCCTATTGGATCGCTAAAGAACCAGCTTTTAAGTTGTGGAGATGAGATGTCAATGTAAATGAAAACTAACCCGTTGTGATGATTTCATCTTCATTTACAGAGGCACCAAGGCCATTCCGTTACGGGGGGTGTCCTGTGGTTTCTCCAGGCAGTCATGCTTATTACCACTGGCTTCCTGTGCAACAAGCACTTAGCCCAAGGCACAATTTAGAGGTATTATGGCTGTTAAAAAACACACACACCTGTGTTAATGAGCATCAAGTACATATCATAACCTTGGTCTTCTGGTGTGGTCCAAATTAAATCAGCTATTCCAATCTGTAATTGGCATAAACTAATTCGCACCTGTTCTCTGTGTTCAAATGGTGTGCAGGCAGGAGAGAAGAGTCGTTTTATCTTTTCTCCTTCAGATCAGACTGCAGGTGGAGATTCTAAGCAATCTTGGATTATATTTCCCGAGGAATCAATCACAGCACACATCTAGTGTGTACTTTTGTGTGATGAAACTTGAGAAATAAACCTCTCACTCCCTATTAAGTCAGTATGTTGTCATTAAATAACTAGATAATTAGCATGACTGTTTTAATTGGTAATCGCTGGTTATTCATTCATAGAACCTGGCATGGTGAAGAGAATTGTGAATTCATGGTCCTGGAGGTTGGTTTTACTACCATTATATTTTAGCCTAAAAATTCTTAATTACAAATAAGTTATTCTAACATTTGTCTTTGAAATGAATTTTAGAAACATTTTTAATAGCAAAGGTTCTATTAACTGGGTTATATTAACTTCCTTTTTGCACATATTAGCTTAAATATGAAAATGTTCATTAGTGCCTGAAAGTTGGGAAAAGTTTGTATATTTAAATGTTTGTGTATTTGTATGCTATTTCTCAGTTCAGAGAGCAACACTTTCTTAAAGTGTACTAAGCCTCTGTTCCTTAAAAACTGGTTTGTAAAATTCTGATAATATATACACTGAAGGATTATTCTAAAATATATTCCTTCCCATGCACTTAACACACACAACTGAAAGGCTTTTATCTTACTGGTGTGCATCTGTGGAAAGAGTTAACTGACTTTCAATATTATCTTTAAACTATACACTTCAGATAATGAGTTTTACAAACCAAGGCCCTAACCAATTGAGACAAATGCTTATTTTCTACTCTTCTGAATTGAGTGACATTGAACATAAGCTGCCAATATAATTTATTCCCCTAGAGAGTCTAGTACTATGCTGGGTGCTTAGTAAATATTTTACTGTTAAGTCTAAATAAATGATTGCAATTCATCAGAAATGTCCTAGATAGGTAAACTGCTTTCATATTAACTTTTAAAATCTGCCTTTTAGAAACACTTAAATAAGTAGATACCTTTTTGTATGCATGTTAAACACATGGGAATTAAGGTGAAAACCCACTTGGCTGTAAGAGGTAAGCCGGACAGAGTCTTTGTGTTAGTAGCTTGCTTCTTATTAATTTGTCTCCTAAATCTGTAGTGAACAACAGTGATGGAACCTCCAGGGTGATGTGCCACATCTGCCTTTATCCAAGTTCTTTTAAGTTTACATTTAAATAATCATCTCAACATTTTCACTCACAGTCCAAAAAAGCTGCTGCATTCTTGACATTTAACATTTTTATACCATTTAAAAAAAGAGTTCTGTGACTTCAACCAACAGCCTACAACTGGCCGTGTTTTTGTTTTTCCTATAAAGGACAATCTTGCTCTGGTGTTTTCAGATAGACTCATTAAAAAATTACTCTAGAACTCAACAGGTGACATATCTGTGATCAAAACAAAGTACACCACCTTCCTTTAAGCTTAGCTTAATGTTTGAATTGTAGACAAAGTTTCGGAGTTGTGTAATAACTTTACATGATTCTCCAGAAGCAGATAAATTCTCTTTTTAAATGGAAGGCATTATTAGCAGAGGACTTCAGGGGGAAAAAAGCCTTATAATCTTATAATGAAAATGAATGCATAGGTAGACTGGTTCAGTATCTTAGGTCATTTCCTCTCTTCAAAATCCTAAAACACTTTGGGCAGCTGTAGCATGGCAAAATATTCAGTCATCTCAAGTTTTATTTTATGGCTCCTTATTATAAGCAGACGCAACCAGTTCTGATTCCCTACTCTCAAGATTTGGAGGCATTTGATATACCAGCTTGTGTGCTTGCATTGATTTGTAAATACCTGACAAATGAACCAACTTTTATTAGCTTGAAGCAAACTGTTTAAGTACAAGGACCAGACTCCAACTTGCTACTCCAAGTTCCTCTGCACTTCCAGCCGTCCTGTGTTCCCACCATCAGTGTTTCTTTTACTAAAAAAAGCAGTCAACCTACTGTCCTAGTGACCTTTTTTACCTTCTCTACTCGGTTTACCCCAAAATAGCTCAATGCCACATTTATAAATTCCACATTCCATTAATTGAATGAGCAGGTTCTAAAAAGATTGTCACTTTCCTCAAGCTTATACTACAGTTGGGGAGATAAAAACTACTATTGAAATTACAACTAAAAGTGCTAAGTACTTTTAAAGGGCTTGGTCTAAACGTTAATCTTTTAAAAGCAGCAAAGTAATAGTTAAGGACATTTTTAAAACATCTACTTTCTTACAGGTATATAATTTGTTGTGACATGTAATAGCCTCCCTAACATAGCTTAGACTAGGCCCTTTTCAAAATGTATTTTGCCTAACGACCTTGATTTGAAACATCTTTTAGATAATTTGTTTGAATTACTCAATTGTTAAACAGTAAACACCTTCAGCTCTCAACATGTACCAACAAAATATTACTGTTTTATCTCCAGTAACACATTTTGGTCATATTTATTAACCTTTATAAACACTATTTTCACTCAATCATTTATAAAAAATGATTTATCATTAAATCTGTAACAAAACCATATAACGTTCATCAATGCATTCAACGGGATCAGTTTCATCCACGGACATAATAAACCACTTTAAAACAGCAGTTTTCATTCACATCATATAAGGCTGTCAAAATAAAAATTCCTCATAATGGTTTGTCATACAAGAAATCCATGTCACTTCATGTTATATGGTAAGACTGATGGGTGGGCCCTAAAAAGTAGAATCTGGAAGATTTTACTCCTTTATGTTCACCTGTCAGTCTCAAACAAGCTTCACAACAGGAAAATATTTGTGAGCAGAGAAATCAAATTCAGGAGGAACCTGTAAAGAAAATCAGAAAGTCAATGGATCTAACAAATATTCAAACAGTAAACAAAGATTATTTTTATTTTAGAGGACTTTTTAAAGACAAGGTAATACAAGAGATTTTTTAAAAGCTGGTTATATAGCAAAGAACTAAGTTAGGAACTAACCTGGGTTTATGAAGATCACTAGAAAACAGGCTGACCATCTATCTTTAGAGAATAGTTAAAAGGAAAATGGACTTAAATTACAGGAAAAAGTCATGGGTCAGCAAATATTTTAGTTCCAGGGTCACCGTTAGTACTGAACAATAAGAGTTACTGGTAAAGCCAGGCAGGAAAGGAGATAGAAAACAATGGGAGTAAACAAATAGCAGTACATATAATGGGCAGATGGCACCACAAATGCCTCAGCGGTTGGCTTCCAACGAGATGCAGAACCTCTGTGTTGAATATTTACATAGCACTGATAAAATATTATCAAGGAAGCATCCATCTCCTGAACCATTAAAAATATCTTATTAAAGCATCCACTTTTCCAACGACAGGTGACTTTTTAAATACCTCTCCCATATATGTATGTATACATCTTTTCTTTTTTTACCCCAAGTAATTTGCAGAGTGGTAAGGAGGGGAATGAAAGGCAGAATTTTGAAAATTTAAGTTAACCTATTGATATGTTTCAAGTCAAAAGGGCAAGCTCTAGTTTATTTTCTATTTCCTGCTTTGGATGCTCTTTTTAGGATGATTTTTGAGTGCTTAATTTTTTTGGAATGAAACATCTTATTGAAAAAAGTGAAATTCTATAATAAATTAGGACCATTTATTTTCCCCACAATGTACTTAACTTACCTTAGATTCCTTTTTGTGTCCTCCTGCCAGTAACTTCATAACCACAAAATTGGGTTTGGCAACCTTTAAAATTCTATTGACCTAAACAATGAGCAACATTAAACTTTTTCAAAACATAAAATTTACAATCAAGATGTCTTAATATTATAGATACTAATAGGAACTTTGCACATGTAATTGTTGATATTTTATTAATATTTATGTGATTATATTTGAATATAATAAACTATAGATTAAAATATTTTAAACATTAACATTTCTAACAAGCCAGATCTTATTTCTATTCTTCACAGTTCTGTCTTAATTTCTCCTTGCATTGATTTCTAAATTTACCCATAGAAGGTATTTATATCACCTCTCATCAAATTTTAAGCCTGACAAGGGTAGGTTAAGAAAGCCATTTGAAATCTGGGGCAGAAACATGACAGGCTTCACTTATGAATACCATGAAGTTCACTTTTACACGAACTGTCACCCAGAGGTAAGATTTTTGTACTCCTGACCGTCTCTCCCTGTAGAGTCACAGACTGAGCCTTACCTCGCGGTCGGGGTTCGGGAGGTTCTCCAGGATCATTTTGGCCTGCTGGAAGTGCTTGCTAGCTGCCACGTACAGTTCTGGAGACTGGGGGGGAGGGCTGTATTTATTGAGGTCAGACATTTCCTAAAAGGGGGAAACACTATTATTCAAAACATGTTCAATATGAACAATTCTAAAACATCTTTTAAATTAATTCTACATTGACTATCCATTCCTATATAGACACCTAAGCAAACACTCAGCATGTCCCTATTTTTTCCTAGGTAATATTAAATTTTCAACCTTCAAATACTGCTTCATATTATTCTCATTCTTAAATAAGTGTTAAACATGATAATATCCAAAAAAAGCCAAATAATTTTGACACTATTGAAATTGCCATTTTCTTACTTTGTCCCATTAGTCCAACAGTCTGACTTCAGTATTTTAACAAAGTGGCTAGGTACAAACATCTCTCAGAAAGCCTAAGAATAAATATTTTAGTGACTTTAGTGAGCAGGTTCACCTTGAACTGCAGATAGTGCACTGGGGGTGGTGTCATTACGCTGTTGAATGGAGCAAATCTGTGCTCATATCGAACTTGTTCACTATCAAGCTCAAACTTGGGTTTTCGTACTTTGCCATCCATGTCAAATGCTACCATGGTCTACAGGAAAAAAGAGAACAAGTAAATATATATCAATATGAAAAAGTGACCATTCTCATTAATTCAAAATAGAAAACAAAAAATAGCTATTTACAGATATCTAAAACAACTTAAGGCTCAGAAGTCAGAAACAGGAGAGAAAAACTGGCTTTAGTGTTTATTTTTATGAAAACCTTATATAAAAGGTTTTCTAGGCATGGGGTTGATATTACTATTTTTCCCAGTGAAATTATACCATATGCACATTATTTTTTCCATGCTTTACAATAGTTTTGAAGGCTTCAAGTAAAAGTTTCTGAAAAAACATGTAGGCATATAAATTTTTATAAGAAAAAGAGTCCATGTTCTATATACCGTGTTTCCCCGAAAATAAGACCTAGCTCATGGAAAGATAAGACATCCCCTGAAAATAAGACCTAGCGCAACTTTGGGAGAAAAAATTAATATAAGACACTGTCTTATTTTTGGGGAAACAGGGTATTTTAAATTTCTTGTTATTACCATTGAAGTTGGGACTCGGTACTCCACCTCCTGGAAAATGCCTGTCTGTTTAAGCCGTTCACTGTGGAGCCTGCTCCTTTCCTAACACACTCCTAAAAGATGCAAACCCCGTCTCTCCCAAGAAACCTTTGCTGATCATCGATAAACCTCTGATTAACTGTGTCACACATGTCAACTGTCCTGTCATAAGGCACCTGAGATAAGGATCACATCTGATTAGAGTTGGTATTCTGCAAGGTATTCACTACAAGATATCTGGCATACAACCTGGGCTCAAATATTTGGTAAACAACTTAATGAAAACAACTAGACTTGGGAAAAAGGTTTCAAGCAGATGTTTAACATAGGTGAAATTAGAACCCAGAAAAAAATCACAAAGAGAGTCAATTTTAACTAAACTACATGATAGTAGTGTAGTTAAAAAGCAAAAAAGAACTTTATTTTAAACTTACCTTAAACATTCCAGCACACATGTTCTGATAGGCTTGGCTCATTGTGATTTCTCGGCTCAAAGGGCGAACTGTAATTAGAAAGAAAATCACCTGTACTCTTTCACCCTCTTGTATTATTGCAGGAGAAAATATAATTTTTTAAATATATTTTTATTGATTTTTTACAGAGAGGAAGGGAGAGAGAAATAGAGAGCTAGAAACGTCGATGAGAGAAACCAACCAGCTGCCTCTTGCACACCCCCTACCAGGGATGTGCCCGCAACCATCAACTAGCTGCCTCTTGCACACTCCCTACCGGGGATGTGCCCGCAACCAAGGTACATGCCCTTGACTGGAATCGAACTTGGGATCTTTCAGTCCACAGACCGACGCTCTACCACCGAGCCAAACCAGTTTCGGCAGAAAAATATAATTAAAAAAAAAAAAATCTTCCATGTTTACTAAATTAAAATTTCCAGTAGTTTGTTCCTACAGGCTACATTTTATTTTATGGTCCAAAACTACAAATAATAAAATACTTAAAGACTAAATGAAAATCATGTTCCTTGAATGGTTAATATCAAAGAATTCTAATGTAATTTTAACTTCTGAATTCATTATATAGAGATTTAACCTTTTTTTCCCCCTGTATATAATATATATTTAGTCCCAAATGCTGTGATAAATGATGTTTCCTCTTTTTTAAAAATTTTTTTCAATTACAGTTTATGTTCAAAATTATGTTGTATTATTAATAGTTTCCGATGTATTGCATAGTGGTTAGACAATCTTATACTTTACAGAGTTCTCCCCATATTTCCAGTACCCACACAGCACTACACAGAGTTAAGAGACTTCTTAAAGAGGAAACACATGAACAGTCATTTAATAGCCCACCCAAACTGTTAAATCTGATGGAAATACAAAGAAATATTTTGTAATGATTATAGCAATATCTGTACCCATCCACAAGTGACTAACGGGGCAGTCCCTTTGAAACACTTCTTTCTCCTCGTGGTCCCTAAGTGGTGTGCCAAGGTCCTTGTCATCCTGGGCAGACTCTAAGAGCACATCTCCAGATCTGCCTCTCTCCTGAGCTGCCGGCCTTCTGTCCAAAGATCAGAAGCTTGCTGTCTTGCACTTTAACTAAATTGCTTGCATGTTCTATGTGCTGCTACTTGTCCTAAGGTCCTCTGACACATGGAATTGCAAAGAAAGGAATCAAAAAGTGTTGTATCACTGCTGAAAATGGTGTGGCACAGTGGATAGCGAGTCGGCCTGTGGACTGAAGGGTCCCAGGTTCGATTCCGGTCAAGGGCATGTACCTTGATTGCAGGCACGTCCCCAGTAGGGGGTGTGCAAGAGGCAGCTGATCGATGATTCTCTCTCATTGATGTTTCTAACTCTCTATCCCTCTCCCTTCCTCTGTAAAAAAAGAAAAAAGAAGTGTTGTATCACTAATGTTGGGATTCCGTTTCTTATACTTCTGAAGATGAGAATTAAAATATTATGACTAATTCTTCCATTACATGGGACAGAAGTGTCTCCAATATTTTTTGTTTCTTAAGTTTAAAAATAATCCACCGCACCTTTCTTCTTTTTCTTAGTCTTTTTACTGCTACGGCCCTTCTGCTGCTCTTCCATTATCCGTTCCTCTGCCATTTGAGAGCCATCAGCACGACTTAATGTCGACATCAACCATGCATAAAGGAATTCAGACAGATACCTATAGAATAAAAATGTTAAGTAACAGTGGGTATCTAAATGAGATAGCTTTATCAACACATGTATTGATACTGATAAAGAGCTATTTTTCATAATGATAAAGTATTTTAAAAATAGATTATCCAATTAGATAATTAATAGATCTTAGATGAGATCAATTAGATTAGAAGTCAGCATTACAAGTGATTAACTTTCCCTTTCTTGTAGCCATCTATGTTGCCACACAATACTGGAAAATTTGTTTAATTTTCTACAATGACATGTGTTTTACTACTTTACAAAATATTTCTTGACAATGATGTGTATATGTAAATCGAATTAATGCCCATTACATTGGTTTTACTATATCAGGACACGTTCACCTCAACCTATTAAGTAAATATTTTTTCCCCTGTTATTACAAAAAAAAAAAAAAAAAAAGCAAGTCCAAGCCAAGAGCACAAAAGCTTCCAATCAGTCTCCTAAAACCACCAACAAAGAACTTGAGCATTTTCTCCATAAACGGTCTTCTTTGTCTACTATTAGTTAACAAAATGTAACCCAAGTATCTATACCAAGACATTTTGGTAAGAATTATCTATTAAAATATTGGAGAATATCTAAATAATATTTTTTATCATTATCACTATAGTTGATGCTCAAATTCAATTTTCATAGTCAAAAGAGCTTTTGGTTCAAGAACCCTTAGCGCCATGATAAAACAAAACAAAACAAAACATGTCAATTGCATGGAAGAGAATTACTTTCATTCCTTCATAGATTTACTCCAAGGAATATACAATATCTTAATTACAAATAAAATAATTTGAATGAGTTAAAAGATGAACTATATTGATTTAATATACTAAACTTAATTGTGATGAGCAATAATAGATTATTACTATTTTAAAATTACCATCACAATTTGCCAGACTAAGAAAGATTTAAGATGACTCAGACTCAATCCATTAGCTCTCTTTTTCCCACTCCCATGTGTCCAGAACATGAATCAGGCATGGGCAGAGACCAAAAGCCAAACTGGGTTAAACAAGGAGTGACTTGTCCCTGGCTGAAATTCTTCACTCTCTTCTATGACAGTTTTCCCATGCCTAAAATATTCTCAAGCATCCTCTTGCTAGCTCCTGTTATCTCCAAGTGAAAGAAGAGAACTTCTCTGAGGATCATTTCTCATCAGTTTCTTTATACCACTTGAAACAAGTCCTTAGGGATGCAGTTTGCAAATGATAATCTCAGCCTTGATTTCTTCTCAGAAGAAAGATCTGGCTCACATTTTGAACTTTAATTCAGATAAGTACAATACCCAGCTAATTGCAACTAGCATCACTGAAATTAGGCCAAAATGTGTAATATTTTTTCCCCTTAGAAATAGATAAGAGCTCTTCCAATTGTCGCAAAGCTAAAGTTAAAATACACAAATGAAAAAAGTACTCTATAGTTATATTCTACAGATGCTCTCCCCGATCTTTTCTATCCCCCACACTTACCAATATATGTAGTAGTACTCGTGCATGCTGTAGAGCTCCAATTCAAAGCCACTGAGAAGATACTGTATCATAATTTTGAGGTTATGGTAAAGGACCCAGGTACCTAAGCAGGCCAAATGTTGCCTTTGGGGTTCCTGTTTCAACAGCATGGTGTGAAGAGCGGCATCAACCTTCTCTGCCTATCAGAATGAAATAGCGTAACATTTACTTTCTTTATAAGTAATGAGAGAATTTAAAATAAACTGCTAAAAACAGCATGAGCAGAAAATAAAAATCTTGCCACTAAAAGAACTCATACTTACAAAAGTAGTTTTGGTTAAGTTTATAACCAAACTTTTCATTTCACAATGGATAACATTTAGCTAAATAGTCCTTAAGCTAAAAAGACATCCAATTAATAGGCCAAAAATAAGAATAATTGATTTCAGGTCTTTAGTTATATTTTCAATTAATATTGCTGCTGCTCACAAATTTACTCTGAGGTTAATATGTAATAATTTTTATAATAATATGAACTTGCTGTAAAATTATAGTTTTACATATGTTTTATAACTTATCCTGATTACCAAAGAAATAATTCAGTTTGAGTTATTGTTCTGTTTCTTTTAAAAAAATATATGATTTTTAAAATTGATTTCAGAGAAGAAGAGAGAGAAACAGAAACATCACTGATGAGAGGAAATCACTGAATGGCTATCTCCTGCACATCCCCTATTGGGGATCAAGCCTGCAACCCAGGCATGTGCACTGACCAGGAATTGAATCATGACCTTTTGCATATGTGGATGCTCAATCCTTGAGCCACTGCAGCCTGGGCTTGTTCTGTTACTTTTTGGAAACTCTTACTTTGGTATATGAAACTGTTACATTGTAAGGAAAAGAGAATTCACCATAGTGAAAAATTAAATAGTCAAAATACTATTCCAAAGAATTGTTTTAAAAGTTTGGTCACGTCATATGAATTGCTGAATTTTAGAAGGAAGGGCTACTTGTTGACTCTTACCTCATCCTGCAAGGTGGCAAATTCCTCGAGAATATGACCGAGCTTGTCTCTCTGTCGAGCCCTATTATGCCCATGGATCTGAATGAGACTACAGAAAGGCTGCAACACATTAAAATGTGTTAACTATCAATATGAAATTTCCCGATACTATAGAAAATTAACATTCCAAGTTTCCAAAATCTGGTTTAAGGAGAAAAAAAATACTGAATATGTAAGAATCATGCGTATGTATATTTTTTACATAGGTGTTTCTTTTTGAGGAACACCAGGGTTTATCAATAGAAGTGGCTGTTATGAAACTTGTTTGCATAGGACAAAAATATCTTCTTTTAATCTTCAGATGTCATTTCACAATTTAAAGAGGAGTTTCTTTTGTGCTTATTTCAAGGCAAAAAGCACTGTTCAAGGCTGATACATCTGTGCTGCTTTAAATACACCAGAATGCCTAATAATTGTAAGACTTGACAATGGCGAATAACTATAAACTCTTTGGTTGTTCTGTTCCTAATCTATACAATGGCCTACATAATAAAAAGCTAATATACAAATCGACCGAACCACACCGTGGAATGCCTGGTTGCTATGACGTGTACTGACCACCAGGGGGCAGACGCTCAACACAGGAGCTGCCCTTTGGTGATGAGCATGTTCCCTCAGGGGGAGCGCCACTCAGTCAGAAGCTGTGCTCAGCAGTGGGAGCCTCTCTCGCTTGCATGGCAGTGCTAAGGACCTCTTGGGGGATGTCCATCCTGCTCCTCAAGAGGACGCAGGCCAGGCTGAGGGACCCCCTATCCCCCAGGGCATGAATGTGGTCCACTGGGCATCTAGTCCTATATAATAAAAGCCTAATATGCAAACTGTCCCTCAACCAAGAGTTCAACCTAAGGGGTTAGGGTCAGCTGGCCAACGGCCTGTGGCCCCACCCCGGCCGGTCCCCTTTCCCTGATCGGGGGTGGGGCCAGCCAGCAGCCAACCTCTCACACCCCCCCCTGGCAGCCCAGGCAGATCAGCCCCAGTCAGGATGCGCTGGCCAGAGCCCATCCATGCACAAATTCATGCACTGGGCCTCTAGTTCTCATGTAAAGTATTGTAACATTTTACTAATCGGGCAACAAACATGAACAGTAGGATGCTCTGATTTAAGAAGTATGAATCATAAGATTCAAGTATAATATTATTTTAATATGGTATACTTTGACAGATTATCTCATTTGATCACTAACTAGTCTATCCTCTTAAGAGGTACAGAGGTAAAATTAACATTGCACATTTTAAAAATCGGGAAATTTATAGAAAAGTAAAGTGACCTCCCTGATAATGATAAATTACCAGTGATAAAAATGAAATCTGGTCTCTTTTGACCATACCATGCTGTCTTCGTGTGTGTGTGTGTGTGTGTGTGTGTGTGTGTGTGTGTGTTGTTTGGTTTAGTAATTAGGATGACTAAAAAGAGCTCTCAATAAAGAGATAATAATTAAGAATGGCTTATAATAAACTAAATCCACCACAAGAGTTGTATGTTTCCTTAACTCCTTGAAATTTGAAAAAAGTTTGTGATCTCATCTAAATTAATAATTTTACTCTAATCCTAGTCATAAAGATAGCTTGAGGATAAGTGCCTGGGGATGTTACAAATATGCCTAGTTTATAAGGTCAAAAATAAGTTTGTGTCCATTTAAAAAAAACACACCAAAAAACAATGTGGACTGCTGTTTCCCCAGATGGGGTAATAACCCGTTTCTATAGTAGTAAGAGGGCATCCAAAAGTGCCTCTGTACCTGATAACCTGCCAGGATCACAATAGGTTATGATGCTACCAACTCAAGCATAAGAAGCGATAGAAACTTTCTATGTAGTGAATATGGATAAGAAATATTAGATGGAAAAATAGCACAAATTAATGCTACTAAAGGAATTATACCCCACAATTTTTAAAGTATCCATCACAACGTCCCAAACTGTAGTTCTTACCCGAACACAGTGAGTAACAAAGGAATCAATACAATCCTTAGCCTGGTGGTTATTATATAGGCAGCACCTGTAAGATAATATCCATGTCATGAAAATCAAACTATTTGGGAACTACCATCAAAATAACTATAGTTTAATAGGAACTAGACGTGGCAGACAGGGAGGCACCTAGCAAGGTCTGTTCAATCAAAGGCCTCTCTGTGTCCTGTTGTTAAAGATGGCCCAGCAAAACACCTATCAAACATTTGCTTTTCCATCTCCATGTGAATTGCCTTCATCATCTGTGAAGTCCCAAAGTTCTAGCTCCCTTTCTCCTTGGCCCAAGGTGGCACATAAAATAATGAAAGAAATGGAGTATTAGGCGGGGGGGGGGGGGGGGGTGGTAGAAGAAAGTTGACCCTTAAAAAAAAATATTTTTATTGATTTCACAGAGAGGAAGGGAGAGGGAGAGAAAAAAAAGAATCATCTATCAGCTGCCTCCTGCATGCCTCTCACTGGGGATTGCGCCCACAACCCGAGCATGTGCCCTGACCAGGAACTGAACCATGATCTTCTGGTTCATGAATCGATGTTCAATTACTGTGCCATACTGCTGGGCAGCTGACACTTTTTAAATAGACTGATCAGGAAAGCCCTCACTGAAGTGATACTGAATGGACCTGAAGGTAGTGAGGGGGCCAGCTTTGGGAATTTTTGAGGAAAATGTCCTCCACTCCCATCTCTGTGTAAAACCATGAGAGAACGTGTATGTTCCAGGAAGAGTAAGGAAGCCAGTGTGGTTGAAGGAAAGGAGGTGCAGGGAGGGCAGTTAGAGATGACGTCACAGGGGTATCAGCATAGGGGTCTAGATAAGAGCATATGGGGCTTCAAAGGCTCAGTTATAGATTGTGGCTTTTACTGTGAAAGAAGTGATGAACCTTAACCAGCACCGAGGATGCTTGGGAATTTACTTCCTCCCAGTTAAACAGCAGTCCTTAAATGAGAGGTGTCTGGGTAAATTCTCAAGTTCCCTTGCCTGAATAGGACAACTCTGAGGTGTCACCCACAATGTCTCCAGAGCTCCCCGACAGGACTGAACCGGAGGAGTTACTCTCCATGATATATCCTATAGCAATATCCTATACTTTTTCCTGGGAACACTTTATAATTACATTTACATGAATCTTTGTCTCAGGGTCTGCTTCTGAGGAATCCAACCTAAGAAAAAAGCTACTAGAAAGTTCTAAGTGGGATGTGGCATGATTTATTCAAGGAATTGGTTGCTGAACCACTAACTGTTCTTATCTATATATAAAAGCCTAAGCAATTATCTGACCATCCAATAACTATGATGCGCACTGAGCAGAATGATGAATCTCAGAGGGAATGGGGAAAGATTAACCAAAGATCTTATATGCATACTAGAGGCCCAGTGCACAAATTTGTGCACCAGTGGGATCCCTTGGCCTGGCCTGCAGGGCTCTCTGACATTCCCCAAGGGGCCTCGAATTGCAAGAGGCCGCTGGACAGGCCAAGGGACCCCACTGGTGCACGAATCTGTGCACTAGGCTAATATTAATATATAATCTCATACACACAGTCTTCATACACACTGGTTTCTTTGTTAAGAAATAGGCTCCTGCCCTAGCTGGTTTGGCTGAGTGGATAGTTTGGCCCACAGACGGAAGAGTCCCGGTTTCAATTCTGGTCAAGAGCATGTACATGGGTTGCAGGCTTGATTCCCAGCCTTGGTCAGGGGCCCTGTGAGAGGTAATTAATGGATCTCTCTCTCTCTCTCTCTCACATCAATGTTTCTGTCCCTCCTCCCCCTTCCTTCCATTTGCTTTAAAAATCAATGGAAAAATATCCTCAGGTGAGGAATAACAAAAAATAAAAGACTCCTTTCTTCCCTCAGCCATGGAAAGCTCTCATTTTCCAAAATGCCAATTCAAATAATGATTCCTTCTGCCTGAAATACTTGGCAGCCTCTTATAGCAGCAATTTTTGGGGCAATGACTCTGTCAGAACATAATTTAAGAATAAATTATCTGTATTTTTCTATTTCTAACTAGACTCAGGTCATTGAAAATAGACCTTATCTTGTTTTGGGTTTTTTTTGTAATCATTTCCCAAAGCACCTAACAGTGCTTTGCACTTAGTAAGGGTCAATGCAATTTACTAAATTTCTGATAAGTCCTTGATATTTTCCTTCTCATACTAGACCTAATGTCAACTTCACTAAAACCTCTGTCTAAATCTAAACAACATGTATCACATGACCGATTTTTTTTTTTATATGGATACTTGATTCCAACAGTTTTAATGCCTTGATTAAAAAGGAGATGGTCAGGCAATTTGGGCTTTTAAGAAACAAATACGGCCCTAGCTGATTTGGCTAAGTGGATAGAGTGTTAGCCTACGAACTGAAGGGTCCCAGTTCAATTCTGGTCAGGGGCACATGCCTGGGTTATGGGCTTGATCCCCAGTAAGGTGGCATGCAGGAGGCAGCTGACCAATGATTCTTTCTCATCATGGATGTTTCTCTCTCTCTTCCCTTTCCCCTCTGAAATCAATAAATGTATATATCTTTATAACTTTTTAAAATCGCCTTTCTTCTTATAAAAAAACCCACACATTATAAAACTTTCTACAATACTTACTTTGGGGAAAGCACTGGAGGACTGACAAAAGATCGAAGTGCATCTTTCACCATGTCTTGCATGAGGTGAGTTCCAAAGACCTTTTTGTTATCCACCAAGAAAGTGGTCTTAAAACAAATATTATATATTAGTAATACTGCCACAAACTTGCTGTTGACCCATTGCACCTATAGCTGCCATTATTGTGACATGAGCATAATTTTTTAAAATACCACAAAGTAAAAAGAGATTAAAATATTGAAAGTTGATGGAAAATTTTTATAATCAGTCTCCACAATGGATATTACTTAATATTAATCCCTACTTAAGGTGTATTTGATGCAAGAGAATAAGTCAAGTCAAAAGTCGTAATTGTGCATTTGTCAAATTAACTAACTAGTCTAAATATGTCAAATGAGCTAATATATAAGAATGAGCGTCATAAATTGTGAAATAGTAAATGGCTATATTTATTAACCTAGTCAATAACCTTTATCTCTAATGAATGCTTTGGAATATATACAACCTTTCCAAAATTGGAGGAAGCAATAGATTATTAAAAAGTATATTAAATTTAAAATAATTTAATAATTTGTATTTAATTTTCTCCCCTCAACCTCAATGCACTGTAATATTTACTATATTGTACACCTTACTTGCTTCCTAAAACATTTGAGTTGTTTCCAGTTTTTTGTGATCATAAACCAACAGTATAAATATCCACATACAGATTTCCAAAACATCAGATCCCACTTATCTAGGGTAAACAAGTAGGAGTGGGGTTTGTATATTTCATTTTATAAGAATGTGCCAGCCGGGACTGGTTTGGCTCAATGGATAGAGCGTCGGCTTGGGGACTGAAGGGTCCCGGGTTCGATTCCGGTCAAGGGCATGTACCTTGGTTGCGGGCATATCCCCAGTAGGGGGTGTGCAAGAGGCTGCTGATCGATGACTCTTTTTCATCGATGTTTCTAACTCTCTATCTCTCTCCCTTCCTCTCTGTACAAAATCAATAAAATATATTAAAAAAAAGAAAAAAAAGAATGTGCCAATTGTTTTCCAAAATATCTGAAGCACTCATTCCCATCAGCGTTACATCCTTACAAGCAGTTGATATTCTATTTTTCTTTCTTTTTTAAAAAGATATTCTGAAAGATGAATAGTATTTCATTGCAATTTAATTTGCAATTCAGTAATATTAATGATGTTAAATATTTTAACATATTGAAGTGTTCAAACTTTTTGTTTACTGGATTGTCTTGTTTCTTTATAGTTATGCTTATAGAGTTCTTTATATGTTCTAGATCCAGGTTGTTTGTCTGACAGTATTTACAAATATTTTCTCACATTCTGAAGAGGATCTTCATTTTTTTAAGTGTCTTCCACAGAATTACTAGTAAAGTTTTAAATTTTTCAATTTAAGGATTATGCTTTTAATGTCACATCTGAGCATTCTCTGCCTTCTCCAAAGTCACAGAGATTTCTTCTCTTTTATTATATCCTTTCTTCTAGAAGTCCTATAGTTTCACATTTTACATTTAGGTTTATGATGTATTCTGAGTCAAATTTTCCCCCATATGCCCATCCAATTTGCACCACCAGTTGAAAAAGACTACAATTTTTCTATTGATTTATCTTTGTGCGTGGTCAAAATTTTACCATATTAATTTCATTTTCATTTTCATTCTAATTTAAGATTTCCTTTTTGATCCATGGGTTCTTTAGACATGGATTAATGGACAAATATTTAGAGAATTTTCCAGGTATCTTCCTGTTACTGATTACTCATTTAATTCCAAAATAGAGTGCATACTTTGTATCATTTTGTTTTAAAATTGAAGTTTATTTTATGGCACGGGTATGATCTTGATAAATGTCTAACACTCTAAATCAATGCTTCTAATAAAAAAATGTAACATTAAATGTGGAAATCCTATGGCAAGAAATATCTACCTTTTGTTCCATCAATCACATAATTTGATGTTTAAGGAAGTTTTTTCAGTACTAAGTGGAACTTACTTGTAACAGAGATCTTGAAAGAACACAAGGTGATTGTTCACTAAACTCACAGAAAAAATCCTAAGAAAGAAACAGAGAAAAAGTAATGTAAAAAAAAGTAATGTCAATAATAAATTAAATAAAAGCAGAAAAGCATCTGCATAGAGAGTGTAATTTTTACTAGAAATAATATCGTACCAGAGTCAGAATATGTTCTCTTAATTGTCTAATTGTACTAATAAGATTTTGGATAATTTTAGAGCCTTAATTTTTTAAAACAAACTGACCAATAATAGTATTGTGTGGATACTCATATTAAATCTGTACACCATGAAAATAACAGTAACAGTAATAACTTACTAATGACAGAGGTTTACTTCCTACTTCACATAAATAAATACCAAGTAAGTAGGCTAACTGGATTCATATTACCAAATGACTGTTCCTGATCTTAGGGAAAGACCAAAAGATATGCTCAGAAAACTATAGATGAGTTTATACACAGATAGAAAAAAAAGATAGACACTGAAGGTTGGCTGGCATGGCTCAGTGCTTGAGCATCAATCTATGAACCAGGAAGTCACAGTTCGATTCCAGGTTAGGGCACATGCCTGGGTTTCAGGCTTGATCCCTGGTGTGGGGTGTGCAGAGGCAGCCAATTAATGGTTCTCTCTCATTACTGATGTTTCTCGCTCTCTCTTCCTCTCCCTTCCTCTCTGAAATCAATAAAAATATATTTAAAAAACAACAATAGGTTATAGGATTGTAGTTATTTTTTTATTTTTATTTTTCAGAGAGGAAGAGAGAGGGATAGAGAGTTAGAAACATCGATGAGAGAGAATCATCAATCAGATGCCTCTTGCACACCCCCTACTGGGGATGTGCCCACAACTAAAGTACATGCCCTTGACCGGAATCAAACCTGGGACCTTTCAGTCCGCAGGCTGACGCTTTATCCACTGAGCCAAACCGGTTTCGGCAGGATGGTAATTATTTATCATCATATTTTTCTGGGTCAAAGTATGTACACTTTTAAGTTGAGAGAGATAGCCACTGGAGTACAGTAGAATGACTATTTCCCTTTACAACATTAAAATAGTATTTTACTTATCAAAATGTTGTGAATTTCTTTAATTACTATTAAGTTTGAATATTTTTAATGTTTATTGCTTTTTAAATGTGTTTATGTCCTATCCCAATTTTACATTTTGTTTCTTATCATTATCTTATTGATATGTCTGCATTCTCTATAATCTGTTACTTTATTCTAATAACAAGCTTCTTATGCAGTTCCAGCAGACCATTTGGTCCCTTATCCTTCCTCACCTTACTCTTGGCTTCTGCCACAGGCCCCCCCTACCATGAACTATTCCTCTGTCCCAAGCCTTCCAGAGATACAGACTTTTCTCTGACTAGGCTCTTTTCATGTCCAGAGGCAGCAGGTTAGGCCTGGCTCCCCAGCTTTCCTCTATTATGGTATGTCATTATGCATTCACCCCTCTAAGGTAATCCATAATCTCCTGCCAGAATACAAATTCCATTGTTGAATTATATTTTCTGATTCCAATTTACATTGATCTTCTCTTTTTCTAAAACCCTACAATTAAATACTTATGTAACAATTAAGGAACAGAAAAGTAGATAGAGCAGAGAGTAAGAAAATCTCTATTAACTAGATAGGTTAATAACCAATCTTAATTAAGTTACAATGAATTACAAAATGCTTGTAATCTTTTCTATCTTTAAGATTCATGATTCTTAAGGACAGACTATTATAATGTAAATAAACACAACAGGAAGTAATAAAGGCATAATCAATGAAAGTTTCACGCAGGAATGAAGACTTAAGCTGGGCTTTAATGTCAAAGAATTAGTGGAAGGGAAAATAAAATTATTATAAGACAGAACATAAACAAAAGCACAAATCTTCATTGACCACCAACTATGTCCCATAATTGCTGCTCAATTCTAGGAATGTAAACTGGTTAGTTTGTCATCTCGGGAAATACAGACAGAAGAGATCTGGAACCAATAAGGAAGACTTCACAGAGGAAATGACATGGGGCTAAGAATTATGTATCATAGCATGGAGGGGGAACAAACGCATAGTCATGCAAAAGAAATTAGTGTAATTATGCCTAAATATCAATAATATTATTTTTCATATTTTCAAGTTACCTTCTAAACATAAATATCACTACAACCTTACCAACTAACAAAATTCCATCTCTGAATGTTTTAATATTTCCAAAATAAAAATATATTTTTATGTATTTAAGTCCATAAAAAAAGTTAATCCAAAAACTGTCAACTTAAAAATGTACATACTCTTTTAGCCAGCAACCTCACTGTTTAGAAATTTATCTTAAGGGGGAAGAAAGCACCTGATATAAAGATTTACCTACAAAGATATCTGCCACAGTATTGTTTATAATAGTAGAACACTGAAAAAAACTTACATGTAATTTAATATGAATGGATTGAAAACAAACAAAACACCTGATTTATGTTTACAGTAACCATTAATATAGAAATATATTTGTTGTCATGAAAAGACAGATATCCACAATATAAAGATTAATAATTAATGAAAAAGTTTACCACATACCATGATACAATTTTTATATGAAAAAATATTGGTGTACATGCATACTTAAAAGCTTTTGAAGACAGATCCAGAGTTCAAACTCCCATTTCTTTTTTTTTTTTTAATCAATCTTTATTGTTCATATTATTACAAAGGTTCCTCATTTCTTCCCCCCTCCACCAGGTTCCCACCCCACCCTCTGCCCTTTCCCCACCCCAAACTCCCATTTCTAAAACTTTGATGAATTACTTAAATTCTCTAGACTTTAGTTTCTTAATTTCTAAAATGAATAGTTATATTCCAGAATAGAGATTTGAACTTACCAGGATACAATGTAAATTTGTTAAATTGACTACTTCACAGACAGTTTTTATTCTATCTATTAATCTTGCAAAATAGTTGACCATTTCTTCCCTTTTAATTATTTTTGCATATCGAGGGAAGGTAGGTGGAAGTAGCCTCTGGTTAACAAGGGGCTCAAAGCCCATCATAATTGGATGATCTAAAAAGAAGAAAAATGAAATTTTTAATGTTTCTCAGAATTTTAAAACTCAAATACTACTAAAAGTAAAAAAGGCCAGTTTCAAAAACATCTTCACACAAATTCTAGTGACATTATCTAGATTTTATATTTTACAATTAACATATCTATACACACACATTTTAAAGTAGATAAGCATATTTAATAACCTAAAATTTTATTTCCTATCTACATGATGTTGGTAGTGATGAGAGGGGCTTCTACCTTCAAGGCAGGAATGGGATAGAATAGGGATAATATAGTCCCTTTTTCTGACAACAGTATAAAATTAGAAATGGAAAATCTACAAATAATGTGAAAATTAAACAATAACACAGTTCTGAACAACTAATAGGTCAAAGAAGAAATCAAAAGGAAATTAAAAATATACCAAACCAATAAAAGATTGATACATAACATACCAAAACCTATTTGCTACAAAAGCAGTTGTGACAGGGGAGTTTATAGCAATAAATGCAGATATTACAAATTTAGAAAAATTTCAAAAAACAACCTAACTTTATACCCCAAGGAACTATGAAAAAAATTAAGCCCAAAGTTAAAAAGGAAGGAAATATAATGATTAGTGTGGAAATAAATGCAAGAGACCAAAAACACAACAGAAAATATTAACAAAACCAAGAACTGGTTTACCAGAAAGATAAAAAAAATTTGATAAACCTTTAGCTACACTCTTATACGTCTACTGACTGGAGAACTTAGTTTACATTTAAAGTAACTGTCAATAGGAATAGAAATGCCATTTTCATTTTGTCAATTGTTTCCTGGTTTTGTAATTTTTAAAATTCTTTTGTTCTCTTTTTCCTTCTTTTGCTCTCTTCCTTTGTAATTTGATAATGTTCTATAGAGGTATGCTTTGATTCTGTTCGTTTTATTTTTTTTCTATATATCTATAGGCTTTTGCTTTGTTGTTACCATGAGGTTTGCATAAAATACATTTATAGTAGTGTATTTTAAATTAATAACTTCAAAAACACAAAGATATCCCTACCATTTTATATCTGATGTCATAATTTGCATCTCCCCCTTAAAAATATAGATTTTATTGATTTGAGAGAAGAGAGAGGGAGAGAGAAACATCAAAGATAAGAGAGAATCATTGATCGGCCGCTTCCTGCATGCCCTCCTACTGGGGATGGAGCCCACAAACGGGGCATGTGCCTTTGACAAGAATTGAATCCGGGACTCTTCAGTCCATAGGCTAATGCTCTATCCCCTGAGCAAAACGAACTAGGGCACAATCTGCATCTTTTACATTGTATATCTATTAACAAATTAATATTTTTTAAATATGTATTTTATTGATTTTTACAGAAAAGAAGGGATAGACAGAAACATTGAGAGAAACATCGATCAGCTGCCTTCTGCACTCCCCCTACTAGGGATGTGCCCGCAACAAAGGTACATGCCCTTGACTGGAACTGAACCCAGGACCCTTCACTCTACAGGCGGATGCTCTATCCACTGAGCCAAACCAGTTAGGGCTGTCAAATTATTTGAAATACTTTTTATCTTTTAACCTTTCAGACAAAAATTTTAAGTTGAACCCTAACCGGTTTGGCTCAGTGGATAGAGAATCAGCCTGCGGAATGAAAGGTCCAGGTTCGATTCCGGTCAAGGGCATATGTACCTTGGTTGCAGGCACATCCCCAGTAGGAGGTGTGTAGGAGGTAACTGATCGATGTTTCTCTCTCATCGATGTTTCTAATTCTCTATTCCTCTCCCTTCCTCTCTGTAAAAAATCAATAACCTATATTAAATTTAAGTCGTTTACCCACCACCATTAGAGTATTCTGAACGAAACTAGTTGGCCCTTGGTATCTACAGGTTTTATATCCATGGATTCAACCAATCACAGATCAAAAACAGGATTCAATCTGCACTTTGGAATCTGCAGATACAAGTTGACTGTATGCATTGTTCTATGCTATTTTATATGTGTATCCACGGAGGATCCTGGAACCAATCCCTTGCTGATACAGAGGGATGGCTGTGTATATTTACTTTGAACAGTTTTGTACTTTTCTATGTTTTCAGCCCAGCCCAAGCTCCCTCTCAAACTTCTGTGATTGTCCATACCTCCTCTTTAGTTCTTAGAAGTAGCTGAGATTATGCCAACACCCATCAGGGTCCCAAATTCAGCATCTACATGTAGACCAATTAGAAGCTAAATCCTCAGGTAGCAGCTGGAGAAGTATGTAGTTAAACCCCTTTCCAGGCAGTAACTGGGAGATGGGCATTTTTGTTCAATTCTTCTGGGTGTACACCACGGGGGAAGGGTGCTCCCACACCTGCTAACAACTGTTCTTTTGTCTGATAGTCAAGTGGGGTTCTTCAATGCAAGCGCAGTTGGTTAGTTGGGCCAGGTGATTGAGGGCTCATCCAATGACTGACAGCTGCAAAAGCTTGAGCACCAGCTATGTGCAAGCTTCTTCCTGGGAGATACTGGTAACTGGGTTTTATTACTGCAAACAAGTTGAAGTGAGAAGTTGAGAAAGATGCCTGCTGGTTTTCCCAGTCTCAGGAAGATCTGACCTAGGCCCTACATGTCCGCAAAATGGAAGCCTGATCCTCAGGCAGCAGCTCTTCCAGTATGCAGGAGAAACAGGGAGGAAACCTGTTTCTAAACAGAGTTTAAACTAGTTCACACGTCATTAGCATAATTATCAGCCTCATTTTCTGAGGTACCTGGTATATAAAAATGGGGCTCTTGAGTGAATCCATATAGTACAAACTGCTGTTCTTGACTTTCCTTATCAGTGGCTAAGAATTCAATTATTTGGGATCAGCTAGATCAATGTCCTTTGTTTTCCAGCTTCTAAAATTTTGTTGCTATTGTCTCCTTTCCCTGTTTATTCTTCTTCATTGAATAAGCCCGGTTGGGTCATGAAAGACTTTGTAATGGAAGTGATGATCTCTTAAAGAAGTAAAAAGGAGAGGTGACTAAAAAAAATGTATTGCTGACATCACAGCATGGTCACCAGACAGGGAAAATACTCAGAGCACAAACAGGAAGATACAGTACTGCTTTTGTTCTAAAAAATAATTTTAAAGGGACCATAAATATTTTATAAGTCTATGAAGAAAAACATTCTAAGGCCCAGAGAGATTTAATTAAATAAAATTTTAGCGAACATCCATATGACCCAAAGAAATCTGGATGGGAAAGAATGAAAAGAGTAGGAGCAAAAACAGACAATTACCTCCTTTTGTAGTATCATTCTGGGCCTGGATGCCATGATGCAATGAATTATGAATGACAGAAAGAAGATCTGCTGCTTGAACCATCAATTTTTGAGCTTCTGCAACAGCACTGGTCTAGCAAATAAATCACCAAAAACATTCTTACATATTCTTTCACTGAAAGATATACATTGGATAGGAAAATCCTATAAACAATAGTGAAATCAAGTGCTTGCTGTAATGACATTGGTTTTCATGAACTATTCACTTAATACAGGATGTCCAGATCCTGTTAGGATAGAAATTATTTTTTATAATTTTGTAGGAGCCATTAAAAAATAATAGAAAACATTTCTGGTTTATTCTATTAATATTTTGTTTAAAAAGAGATGTAGCCAACTGGAAAATTTCAACTCTGTCATTCATCAAGGTGAAATATAAAAATAAAAACAGAAAAAATAAAATTGCAAAAGTTAGAACACTGGTAAAAGTTGGCCCTTTACTTATCACTTATTTACTATTCACTAATTTTCCTGTAATTGAGATACACACACACACACACACACAAAATCACCATCTTGGGCTTATTTTGGCGTCTACACAAATCTAACAGCTTTTTCTGAATGAAAGAGGACACCTTAAAATTATCATTAAAAAAAAAATAAAAAAATATATATATATGTATATAAATAAAAAATGTGTGTATATATATATATATATATATATATATATATATATTTATTGATTGATTTTTTTACAGAGAGGAAGAGAGAGGGATAGAGAGTTAGAAACATCGTTGAGAGAATCATCGATCAGTTGCCTCTTCCACACCCCCTCTACTGGGGATATGCCCGCAACCAAGGTACATGCCCATAACTGGAATCGAACCTGGGACCCTTCAGTCCACAGGCCGATGCTCTATCCACTGAACCAAATCGCTTTCGGCTAAAATTCTGATTTTTACTTTCTCCTCTCAATTCACAAATCTGACTCCTATTTTTATATCAACAACAGGTATGCATATGTTATGGAGCAAAATGTAAAATTCATATGATTTTTGAGAAAATCATCAGGGCTACTCTGGTGTAAATATACGAATGTTCAGTGCTGTACATGTGCAAATGGGTAATATCAATGAAAAAGTCTCAGAACTACTTCAATAAAGCATTCTATCAAAACAAAACAAAACAAACTATATACCACTAAATAGACAGATGATAGTAAATGCCCTTACCTCTTTCTTAGTAAAGGCTATAAGCACTGTCAGTAACACTCGAATAAATTTCATCCTGCTGAATACTGCTAAACACTGTTGGTGCTAAAAAAGAAAAAAAATATATGTGAACTAGAAGTTAAAAAATGCAAAGTCTGTCAAAAGAATTTCATTTTAAAATATATTTTAAGCCCTAAATCTCAGTGTTAATAACTTAACTACATTACAAAAACCTTCACTCAGTCTTTAAATGCCCGAAAATCAGAGCTGCAGGAAACATAGCAAAGCTTACTCTATTGAAATAGAAAGCTTCTGTATCAAACGGACTGATTTTTCCTTAAGACTAAAGTTACACTATCATCTCAAAACTGATTTAATCATAAATTAAAAAAGATTGTGAAAGAACTACTTTAAGCAGAATCAGAAAATTTATGGCCTCAACTAAGGTTTGGCAACTTTTGATTATATGCAAGTTCTTGTGTTTTGCCAGGTTTTGATGTGTCAGCTGTAAAAAGTTATTTTTTCTTCCTTTCTCAAAGGAATATTGAAGATTCAGTTTTGAAATCATGTATGTGAAAGAAATGTATTATCATTCTATCAAAATAAATACAAGGGAAATAAAATCCCTTGCAATGTCCAATTTGTAAAGAAATACCTTAAAAGGGCTTCCACAAATTATAACACATAAAACTATAACATTAAGAGGTTGATTTCTCTGATACTATCTACCAGAAAATAAGTTCAATTACTTCTAGTTCAACTTCTGGATCTCTTTCTTCTCCTTGTCGACTTCGAGTACTCTAAAATTTTAAGAAAGGTGAATTAAAAAAAACACAAGCTTATAGAAGCATTAAATTATAAATATACAAGTCAAAGCACTAAATTAGTTTAATGTAAGAATCCATTTTTAAGAAAAATATTTCCTCCTATTAATACTATATTTAAAAAGTTAAGTTTTACAAAGATCATACAAAAGAGTAAGGTATTAAAAGCAGCAAAAGCGGAACAGTAAAATAATATAAGTAATAGCACATGGTACTTCTTTCTTTTAAAAAATCTATTCTTTGAAATTCTAGATGCTTTCAAAACTAACCCTATTGGAAAAAAAGTAATATTTACAAAACAACATCATAAAAATAAAGTCACATAGTGAATACTGATCTGTTCTGCACTAAAATGCAAGCCATCTTGTTAATACATGAGTAATATATGGTTAACTGTTTTGACAAAATTCTAGGAAGATCTTGTAAAAGAGCTGGTTTCTAGGCACTGGAGCTCCTAGTGACTAGTGGCATGCTCTAGTGAGACTCAGATAGGTTATTAAACTCATTTGAACTGTATTTTCTAAATGTGGGGCACTCTGTGCATTTTATTGTCTAATTCAATAAATAAATGTGAATATCACGCCAGGACCGGTTTGGCTCAGTGGATAGAGCGTTGGCCTGCGGACTGAAAGGTCCCAGGTTCGATTCCGGTCAAGGGCATGTGCCTTGGTTGCGGGCACATCCCCAGTAGGGGGTGTGCAAGAGGCAGTTGATCGACGATTCTCTCTCATCGATGTTTCTAACTCTCTATCCCTCTCTCTTCCTCTCTGTGAAAAATCAATAAAATATATTAAAAAAATAAATAAATGTGAATATCAAATAAAACAACGATGTAAAATTGCTTTGATAACTATGCTGTGTTATACAAGTGGAAAAAAATAGTAGAAATATTAAGCTTTTCCCTTTTTTAATCTCTATGAGACCCGACATCAAGGTCATTTGGCTGAAGGATGCCATTCATAGAAGGTATTTACCAGATTTGGGATACCATCATTTACTGAGTTTTTCCTCTGTGTTGTAGACACTCTCCTAACTATTAAGGGTACCAAGATGAATATAGTCCTCATGTTGGAGGAATTTCCAATTCTACACATATGCTACTCTTAAAATAGCATACAAAAATTCTAAAAAATTGGCCCAAAATTGAAAAATTGAGAGGGTTTATTTTTCAATACTTGAAAGTGACATTAACTTATCAGAAGTTCTTGTAACAGCCTTTAAACTCATTACCAAAAGGCACAGCATATACAAAGGAAGTTGATAGCCTATCTACATCAGTTATTTATTCTTAAAGTAAATCTGACATTTAGAAATTAAGGAAAAAAATCCTAGATCAAAGAGAAAGAGAGAGAGAAAGAGAGAGAAAAGAAATATATATATACCTTTACTCTTCTTTGCATGTCATCCTCCACATCCTTTAGCATGCCTAGAAAGACAGACAATGGGGTTAAAAAAGAAACAAATCCAAACAATGTACTTGTGAATTATCTTTATAGATGGTGTTACCTGTAACTCGAAGATCTGTCACACTGTTAGCCATTTTAAATCCGTAAGTCATTGATTGAAAATCTTCCTATACAAAAAAGGAATAATTAGGTCCTTGAGTAGTAGCAAAACCTTTCCTTATATTTATCTTACAAAATCACTATTTGCTAGTAAGAAAACAGTAATGAAATGTCAAACCTGCTTATCTTAATATTGCTATCAAACATCCAAGCTTTTCTTATTCTTGTAGCCTTAAAAATCCATATTCTAAGACTCTCCATGTCCTTAATTTCAACTGCTTATTCTTAAGCAATTTAAATATACTTGCATTTAATAGGTTCATTTGCAAAATAAAGCCAATGGCCCTAACTGGTTTGGCTCAGTGGATAGAGTGTGGACCTGCGGATTCAAGGGTCCCAGGTTCCATTCAGTCAAGGCCATGTACCTTGGTTGCAGGCACATCTCCAGTAGGGGCGTGCAGGAGGCAGCTGATCGATGTTTCTCATTGATGTTTCTAACTCTTTATCCCTATCCCTTCCTCTCTGTAAAATAAAAAATCAGTAAAATATATTTTAAAAAATAAGGCTAATGCTTATGATATTACAAGGCAATTCCCATTTACAAAGCATTTTCAAATTCACAGGTTAATAGAAAATATGTAGTAATTACTGTTTGATTATAAGATTGTAAGATTTAAATAAGATTCTTATTTCAAAAGCCTGTTTCACTGTTAGGATAACAAAGATTAAGCCTTACTCAAAGTGAGAGCAAAACCACATTCCCCCTTTAGCCCCATTCCAAAGAAAAATTATTCACACATGGATTCCCATCCCAAGAATAATTTAAAACACTACTGAGACATTAAAAAATTAAGTGGCTTGCTGATGTGCATTGAAGACCCTTCCAATTGGCCCCAATTTGGGGGTGGTGGTGGTTGACAACCTCCCACAACCCCTCACCCTTGTCAGCCAGCCCCCCAATGGCCTTGATGGGGGGTCAGCCAGCCAACCTCCCACATCCCTCCCTTCCCATGGCTGGCCCCCCGCCCCATAGGCCCCAATCGCCAGCCAGGCTGAGGGACCCTACCCATGCATGAATTCGTGCACCAGGCCTCTAGTTATAAATATAAGATGCCATGGGGTCAAGGGAACTGGTGTTTTGTCATTCATTCATTCATTCATTCATTCATTCATTCATTCATTCATCTATTCGTCCATCCATTCATCCTCACCAAAGAATATGTTCTTACTGATTTTATAGAGGAAGCAAAGAGAAAGAGAGAAACATCAATGTGAGAGAAAATGTTGATTGGTTGCCTCTCAAATGCACCCCGACTAGGGAATTGAACCTGCAACCTAGGTATGTACCTTGACCAGAAATTGAACCTGTAACTTTTTGATGAACAGGACAGCACTCCAATCAACTGAACCACCCGGCCAGGACTGATGTCCTGTTTTAAATTAAGTGATAGTAAAACATGTTTATATGCCAATAAGTAGTGAAGGAAACACTAACCAATGCGATACAAAGAAAGGATTAATAACTACAGTAGGCAAGAAGGAATAGAATTGAGAATGCTAGTGGAGGAACTGAGTTAGACTGTCACAGGAATACTTTCAATTTCAACAAGATAGAAGGCAGAGTATATGGGAATCAGCACAGGTTAGTAATAGTGAGAGATAAGGTACTTCTAATTCTACTGGGTTCCAACTAATATTTCATTATAGTATAAAGCAAGCTGATAAAGAAGGGTTGGCATTAGAGGTTTGAGAGGAAATGATGTGGAAAAGTCACCTTGGAGACTGGAAAAGCAAGTTCATTATAGAAGTGTTATGGGGTAGGACTGTTGCTAGTGTTGAGGGCCCATGTGAGATTTGTAGTCCTAAAATTAAAGTGAGAACTAGACACACAGATATGGATTTTCTCAAGCAGCCTTCTGCTGTTTGGGTACAAGCAGCAAGCAGGCAGATGGTTGGGGTTTTACCAGATAAATAACACATTATGATGAAATGAGAGCACTGGTTCAGGGAAATGAGGACTCGAGGAAAGTAAAAGAAAAATAAAGTAAAAGCAAACATAAATTGAAGGTTTCCATAGAACTGAAGGATAATGGGAGTAGGGAGATCAGAGTAAATGAGTGTAAGTGGAAGCAATCAAGATTTTTGGAGGTAAATAGATTAGTATGGGTGGACCATACCATTATTAGTCAAACTGGCATACTGTTCGGAGTAGAAGAGGATGCTATTAATAATCACACCAGAGCCGAAACCGGTTTGGCTCAATGGATAGAACGTCGGCTTGGGAACTGAAAGGTCCCGGGTTCGATTCCGGTCAAGGGCATGTACCTTGCTTGCGGGCATATTCCCGGTGGGGGGTGTGCAAGAGGCAGCTGATCGATAACTCACTCGTCGATGTTTCTAACTCTCTATTTCTCTCCCTTCCTCTCTGTACAAAATCAATAAAATATATTTAAAAAAAATAAAATAAATAATCACACCAGAACAAAAGCTGTCAAGTAGGACTGTTCCATGCTAACCAATACCTACAGATACCAGCTGTCACAGAAGAATGTGCTGAGGAAGGGCAGAAAAAAAACTAAAATCTGAGCAAGTCAGGAAAGTGGGATTCAAGTTTAAAGATAAGCAGGACTGCCCTACTGGTTTGGCTCAGCAGTTAGAGCATGTCAGCCCAAGGACTAAAGGGTCCTGGGTTTGATACTAATCAAGAGCACATACCTCTCAGTTCCAGGCTCGATCCCTGGCCCTGCTCAGGGCACATGTGGGAAGCAACCAATCAATGCATTGATGTTTCTCTCTCTCTCTCTCTTTCTCTCTCTCTCTCTCTCCCTCCCTCCCTCCCTCCCTCCCTTCCCTCCTCCTCCCCTCCCCCTCCCTCTCCCTCCCCGCTTCTCTCCACCCCTCCCTTCCACAGTCTCTAAAAATCAATGGGAAAAAAAAATATCCTTGAGGGCGGATTAACAACAACAAAAGATAAGCAGGACTTTGGCCTGAAAAGGTTAGTAAAGGAGAAAAGGCGTAAGGAGAACCAGAGGGAAATGTAATTATGAGGAAGGTTCAAGTATATGCAATGGCTGGCTTTAAAGATGGAAATGCAGGAGGCTTCTAGAAGAGGCAAAAGGCAAGAAAACAGACCATTCGCTAGAGCTTCTGGGAAGGGACATAGCCCTCTAGTACCTTGATTTTGGCCCTGTGAAACTTGTGTGACACTTGTGCCCTCCAGAACTTTTCCTCTGCAACCATGCCTATCAAACTCAACATACGTATCTCAGATTGAGAAATCTGATATGCTGTAATTGAAGACAGAAATACAAGAGAAAAATCCACTGCCTTCAAAAGAAACCATTGAACAGGGGAAGCAAACAGGCAAATCATAATGAGACACAAACTGCAAATATGCAGAAACCACCAATATGTACCATATATTCCACAAGCACTGCCTTCTTATTTGAGCTGTTTAACTTTGTAAGATGCAAAGAGGTTGGATCAGTTTAAATGACTCCTGTCCCTTTTCACATCAAAGAGCTACTGTCAATGAAGGCTGCACCTGCCTCTCCCATCTGTCTGTCTGGCAGGCAGGGAAGGAAAAGAACTTGCATGTTGGTGAAGGAAGAAGCTGGGTGAGATGACAGTGAAATCTAGAGTAAAAACTACGCTAATCCAAGGTGTTCTATAGTCTGTAAAATGCAGTTTAATCAGAGTGCCTTTTTGTTGTTGTTATAATGATTTTAATTATTGGAATGAACAATTTAAAAAATATGGGAATAAAGTTTTAAAACTTGAAAAGAGAGAGCGAGAGAAAGCATTAAGAGCCAGAAGAGACATTCTGTGCAATAATATTAGGATCAGCTGAACAATAATATGCCAGGAGGAGAAAAACAAAAATGAGAAAGAAAATGTAGGCATACATCTGTCATTAATATTTATATAATCATACTAATATCAGCAATAAGTAATAATTTAACCAAAAACTGAATTCCTATTTAAGGTATGGGAGGGGATAATGTATGAATGCTAAACACCTGCTCAAGATGTACTGATATACCATTGCTAAAAACAGTTAAGTCCTTAAATTGAGAAATTAGAATATAAGCCTATTACCCAGAAATATGGAAATAAATAGGAAAAAGCCAAAATAATATGACAGAATGGTTAAGAAAGAGCAGAGAACCACAATTTTTCACTATAAGATTTGTGGGCTATTTGACTATGTGCAAATATTATTACTTTTATTAAACCACATACACCAGGGGAAAATTTTATATAGCAAAACTGAACATGACCAAATTACCTACTTTTAAGAGGGTCAAGTAGAGAATGAACTAGAGGGAAAGACCAGGCCAGAAAGAAGAATTCTGCCTAAACCTAAAACTAACAAAGGCATGAACTAAAGCAGGAACAAAGAAAAACAGTGCCCAGATTCAAGGTATCTGCAAGATAAAAAAAGAACCTGGATATAGAAGGCTATATATATATATATATATATATATATATATATATATATATCAAAGATAATATTCTAGATACCATTTTGCAAGATACAGAAGGCAAGAGGAAAAGTGGTCTAATGGAGGAGGAGGAGGAGGAGGAGGAGGAGGAATTATAGTTCCCATTTTGAATGTGTGAGCAAGGTATTAAGAAACGTTTTTAGGCAGCTTGAAAATGTATCCATTTCAGGAGTTAAAATAAAACAGACATAATCCAAGAACAAAATACACACAGACATAATCCAAGAACAAAATACACATAATCCAAGAACTTCAGAAATATTATTTCAAACAAAGAAATTATTATGTCATTCTTATTTATTCATTACCAAATCTTTTAAAAAATATCTTTATTGTTGAAATTATTACAGATGTCCCCCTTTTTTTCTGTTCATTACCATCTCTCTTAAGGACTTTTATTAAATAATCTTTTTTTTATTCCTAATTATAAAACATAAATTTATCTGGAAAATTGGCCAAGTTTGGAGGAAACAATGACCATTCATATCATACACACACAGTATGTGAGTGCCTGTTTTCCCATCCTCATCAACATGGAGTATTATTAAAAAAAAATCTTGTAATCTTTGCCAATAATGGGTTAAAAAATGGTATCTCACACTTATAATTTGTATTTCTCTTAAGTAAGGTCTTATGTATAAAGGCCATTTTACTTTGTGAACTATCTTCTTTATTTTAAAAAACTTTTTAACACTTAAAACATTTCATCTATCTGCAATTTATTTTGATGTTGTTAACCACCTTCCCACTAACCCCATTCAAATCTATTATGTTAAGTCCTAAACCCCAAAATGATGATGGTATTATGATCTGGGTGGGGCCTTTGAGAGGTGATTAGGTCACAAGGGCAGGGGCCTCATGAACGGGATTACTGTCATTCATCATAAGAAGGACCCCTGAGAGCTCCCTCTTCTCTTCTACCATGTGGACACAGTATAAAAGAAAGATGGCTGTCTATGAACCAGGAAGCAGGCACTCACCAGACACTGATCTTGGATGATTTAGAGAGAAATAAATTTCTGTTGTTTAAAAGCCAACTAGTCTATGGTATTTTTTTTTTTAATATACTTTATTGATTTTGTACAGAGAGGAAGGGAGAGAGATAGAGAGTTAGAAGCATCGATGAGAGAGAATCATCAATCAGCTGCCTCTTGCACACCTCCTACTGGGGATATGCCCACAACCAAGGTACATGCCCTTGATCAGAATCGAACCCGGGACCTTTCAGTCCTCAAGCCAAACCGGTTTCGGGTATGGTACTGTTATAGCAGCCCAAGATGACTAAGGCAGATGTAAAAATGGTTAATTTTCAAGACTGATAATCAATTATTCCAATACAATTTTTTCAAATGAATCATTTCTCTGCCCCACTGACTTCCAATGACCTTTGAGAATGTAACTATTTAAAATAATTTATATTTCTCTTCTCACTTATTAATTAACTTAAACTAATATTTTAAATAATTGTACCTGATGGATTAGATTTCCCATGATACCCATGTCAATTCAAATATGTAGCTAAATAAACAATGAGTACATAAAAAGTAGACAGTTATTTCATAGACAATACACAAGCCATACATTTAAATGTGGACAATCATGTTAGGTATATATTTAATTATTAGAGGCCTGATACATGAAATCTATGCACAGCAGGGGTGGTCCCTCAGCCTGGCCTGCATCCTCTCCAATCTGGGACATCCCTCTTGCAATTTGGGACTGCTGTCTCCTAACCGCACACCTGCCTGCCTACCTGCCTGATTGACCCTAACCACTTCTGCCAGCCTGATCATTCCCTTGCCAGCCTGCTGGACCCCAGCTGCCCTGCCAGCCTGATGGCCCCCAACTGCCCTCCCTTGACAGCTTGATCGCCCCTACCGCCCCTGCCTCGGTCCCCAAGACTGTGGCATTATCCGGAAGGAAGTTGGATATTTGGAAGATGGCTGGCTGACTTGGTCTAATTAGCATATTACCCTTTTATTAGTATAGAATTCTTACATACATAACATTATTTAGAAAAGCTTTACATACTATACACTGAACTACTGTAGGAGCCTAAGATATTTATTTTGGATCAACAACATTAAAAAGAAAGTTACCAGCTTCAACAAAGGGAAAAATTAAATAATCATCTATATAATAAAAGCCTACGTGACAGCGGAACAGCCAGAACAACCAGTCGCTAGCATGAGCACTGACCATGAGGGGGAGTTGTCCTTTGGTGGTCAGTGCACCACACAAGGGGAGCACCACTCCGCCTGACTCCGTGCTCACTGCTGGCGAGTGCAGCAGCAGTGGCGGGAGCCTCTCCTGCCTCTGTGGCAGTGCTAAGGAGAAGCAAGGCGAGCAGTGAGGTGCAGCGAGCAGGCAGGTGGTAAGGGGAGAGGGGTTCTGGACTGAGAGAGGATGCAGACCAGGCTGAGAGACATCCGCCCCCCTGCACAAATTTCATGTACCGAGCCTCTAGTTTATCAATAATCTCAAATGCTATCACATTTTCCCTTAAAATTATCAGCATCTGAAATCTTTTCTTTTTCTTTTTTTTTTTTAAGATATATTTTATTGATTTTTTACAGAGAGGAAGGGAGAGGGATAGAGTCAGAAACATCGATCAGCTGCCTCTTGCACACCCCCTACTGGGGAGTGCCCGCAACCAAGGTACATGCCCTTGACTGGAATCAAACCTGGGACCTTTCAGTCCGCAGGCTGACGCTCTACCCACTGAGCCAAACCGGTTTTGGCATGAAATCTTATTTTCAATAAGGATAAAAAAATAATCTCAGAACACTTCCCCAGGGCGAGTATAAACTTTAAGAAAATGTTTATACTCTAAAACAGCAATTTTCAACCAACGTGCCACAATAATTTTTAAATCATGCAATATCTGACTATTTAGTCAGGGGCACTTACCTCTTTTCTCTTAGATTGTCAAATAAAAAAAAAGATAACAGCTGATACAACATTAGCTGTCTGGTGTAAATGACTCAAAATTATACTTTTTTTTTGTCAGATGGGCAGAAAAATTCTATTTTTTGTGGTGTGCCTCAGAATTAGTTCATGTGTGCCACGAGATGAAAAAGATTGAAAATCACTGCCCTAAAATATTCCTCATATTCTTGTTTTCTTTAGTTCCCTCTCAACCAAAGACTGAAAGTAAAGCACTCTTATGTTATAGTTTGTAAGAGACTTGAGGGCAGAAGCTGGCTCTTTTATTTTCTTTGTGAATTACCACAATAGCCAGAACAAAGTACTCTGCACATAACGGATACTCAACGAATGATACTGACAGAAAGAACGTATACTAGGATGAAAGTACTTTTTTAGAACTGGATTATTTTAGCCAATATGTATGTAAATAGCAACAGCACTAGTTTTAAAAATTGTTTTATCTATACATGTTACAAAAATATGTATTATATGATCATTTAAATACATTACAGTGAATAAACTTTGTATTATTTAAATTGCAAATAATGGGTTAAAAAATGGTATATCTTAAAGCTTATTCACTATTACAAATTTACATGATTATATGATACTTATTTTTGTAACATGTATAGATAAAAACAATTTTTAAAACTAGTGCTATTGCTATTTACATACATATTGGCTAAAATAATCCAGACAAATGGCAGGGGAGGGGAGTGGTTAGAGAGCAACCAAAGGACTTGTATGCATGCATATAAGCATAACCAATGGACACAGACACTGAGGCGGATGGGGTTTGCCCAGGGTGGGAATGGCTGGGGGGGTGGGGGTGTCAAGCGGGGGAAAAAAGAGACCTATGTAAAACTTTAGACAATAAACATATTTTAAAAATGGTATCTCACACTTAAAATTACAAAATCTTACCTCTTCAAAAACAGCAGCTTTATTTACTTTTTCCCTTGCAATGTCACAGATTTTCAAGATTCCGAGAGCAAAAGCTTTCATGGCAGGATCTTCTATAAAGTCTGGATTATGAACGTAAAGACATGTAAAGACTGTCTGTGCCATGGAGTGGCCTTCTAACCATGTTATCTATAAAGAAATAAAAGAATATATATATGTTTAAAGTGACAAAGAGCCAACAGTCAAAGACCAAAGTACCACAGACCGAAGTAAATATAATATTAATAATATTTAAAAGGTGATTAAAGGGAAGGTCAGGAAAAACAAAAAAGTTAGAATTCAAGAGTCATATGCCTTAATATGGTTAGCTAAAATATATAAATATGAGAAACATCCTATATAGTAAAAGGGTAATATGATAATAGTCCAAATGGCAGAACTGAACAACCAATCAAAGCTTAATATGCTAATGATATGCTAAGGCTGCTCAACCACTCTGACATGCACTGACCACCAGGGGGCAGACACTCAACTGGTTGACTGGTCAGTCGCTATGACATACACTAACCACCAGGGGCCAGATGCTCCAACTGGAAGGTTAGCTTGCTGCTAGGGTCTGGCCAATTGGGACTGAGCGAGATGGTCCCGACATGCTCTGGAGCCCTCCCGCAGTACTTCCCCAGCCTGACTGTGCACCAGTAGGGCCCTTCAACCTGGCCTGTGCCCTCTCGCAATCTCAGGGGATGTTGGAGAGCTGGTTTCAGCCCAATCCTGCAGGCCACTCCTTTTGGAGGGCACCAGACATAGGGCTCAGGACTGTTTGGTGTGGGCCTGCAGTAGGCACAGTGGGGCCAGGATGAGAGGAGGAGCAGCAGGTAAGAGCTGCAGGCAGTGTTGGAATGAGGGTTTCAGCCTGATCCCTGAAGGCCACCCAGAGGGACCCCACCCATGCACAAATTCGTGCACCAGACCTCTAGTTCTTATATATAATTCAGTTTGCAATATACTTGGAGACTAATTAAATTAAGTGTCTCCAAATATAGCAATCAATTCCCCATTCAGTCAGTAAAAATCCATAAATTATGGAATTTACAATTTTAGAACTAGGTCCCAACCCACTCATCCAACTCTTCTTATCTCACCTAGTATTACCCCAAGAAACATACAATGGTTTTATTGCCCCCCATCTCTAATTCAATACTCCCAACGAGATGCATCTTTCTAAAACATAAAAATAATCATTCAACACTATTTTACTGAGTAATTAAAATGGGCCAGGGACCAGGTGCTCAAACCTGGAAATATCTATAGCAGCCAAAACTGAGTAACTATTATGCCCTAAGGGTTATGCTAGGTATTTTTATATACTCTACCTCATATTTCCTAATACTCTGCGGAGAGCGATATTTTTCTCCTTTTACATATAAAGAAACAAAGACTCAGAGAGTGTAAATAACTTTATCCAAGTTTTATATAGTTACTAGTGGCCTGGTGCATGAAATTCATGCATGGCGTCCCTCATCCCAGCTAATATGGGATCTGTCAGGGATCGGGCCTAAACTGGCAGTTGGACAACCCGCTCACAATCCAGGACTACTGGCTTGTGTCACCTACCTGCCTGTCTGATCGACCTTAATTGTTCTGCCTACAGGCCTGCTTGCCCCCAATAGCCCCCCGCTGGCCTTTTTGCCCCCAATTGCCCCCCCTTGCCACCTTGCTCACCCCCAACTGCCCACCTGTGCTAACCTGCTCATCCCCAATTGCCTCTGCCTCGGCCCCACCACCATGGCTTTGTCCAGAAGGACATCTGGAAGGTCTCCTGGTCTAATTAGCATATTATCCTTTTACTAGTATAAATATTTTACATTAAGCCCAAGAATTCTGCAATAGAGCAAGACATATAGTGCTGCATTGCAAAATGAGAAATGTACATGAAAATTACTAGAATTAAGGTATGTATTTTGTATTACCAGTATGCAGATTTTCCAGACTAAAAACCACCTGCCTAGTAAAAGCCAAACTCTCCCAAGAATCTCATACAAATAATGGTTGCTCAACTTTGGCAAAAATCCTTCCTCTTGCTTCCATTTGTCCTATTCCACTGGGACTATAAACTGCTAAAGAGTAAGAAAGACATATATGAGGGAAACAGCTTTGGGGGAAGAAGGGTCAGGATCAAGACTCTGGTTATGCCCCTTCCTAGCAATGTAATCCTAGGCAAATAAGATTATATCACATATTGAATAGAGCTGATATAAGACTTAAATGAAAAAATATAGAAGTACTACACACTGGCAATCAATACTTACTAAATGACCAATGAATAAAATTTACATATTTCTAAGACAATAATTTAAAAATTTTAAAAGAGTGGTTAGAAAGTAGGCAAAAAAAGGAAAAGAAGAAAGCAGTACAAATGAGAATTTTGCCACAATTAACCAATATTGTTTAGGGAAGACAACTTATCCAGCATATAGAAAGCATTACAAAATTTTCTTCATCTTTTAAAACATGGCCAGTTTAGTACAATTCACTCTAGATTAGGAAAAACATCTCTCCAAAGCCAATCTAAAAGTGTTTGTTTCAATTCTACGCTTCTTTATGGAAGCTTCCAATTGCAGATTTATTTCCCTGGGTACCTTGAGAACAAAAAGGGTACTTAGGGTAATAGCTACACAATTATCTTCACTAGAAAGAAAATATCCCCTTTTCCAGAAACTGAGAACTTAAATTATCAGAGTAGTAGATAAAAATGCTATTTCCTATAGCATAACATGGCCTGTTAATCGGTTGTACTCCTTACTAGGTTAAGCATTACATATATTTCATACTCAACATCAGTATACTTTTAAAGATTCAGGTAAGTCATAATTTTAAAATTAACCAATAGTGTTCTTTTGATTCTTACCAAACAGCAAAAACACGTATCCATTATCCCTATCAATTCAGGCAAGGTGAGGTCTTTAATTTTAATGGTGCCTTCCTAAAAAAGGAGGGGAAATATGACACATAAACAGAAGTTTTCAAAATTATGTAGAGTGGCATTTTGCAAATGCTATATCAAATCCATGCATCTTGGCTTTCAAAAATTAAGTATTTAAAAATAGCAATTCTAAGAACACTCTATCTCACCATCTGATAAAACTAAAATGCCAAATTAACTCTGTATTCTTAAAAATAATGTGTCTGAAATAGGTCTTCAGTAAGAAAAATCCAAGCTTCTTTCATTTGAAACAAAATAATGGCCTTTATAAAGAACTGAATGAAAAACCAAACTAACAAGTATTTTAAAAGCAGTTCAAGTATTAACATGAATAATTTTAATGAATGAAAATTTATGAATAAAATAAACATTTAAAAAAATACTTCCCTTAAGTTGGTTAATTATATACTACTTATAAATTTTGTTTATAATATCCATTTGCATTTTTAAATAAAATATGCAAAATTAAACTCTGTGGTAACTATGAATGAATTTCTAAATCAATTCTTAAATGAGTAAATTTCAAATTCACTGCCACAAGCATTTTAGCTAACAAATACTAGATAAGTAATGGGTTCGATTCCTGATCGGAGGGAGTACGGGAGGCAACTGATCAATATTTCTCCCAGTGATGTTTCCCTTTCTCTTCATTCTTTCCCTCTAAAAATAAAAAAAACCATATCCTCAAGGATTAAAAATATATATAATAAAAAATAATAAGTATATTAATGGATAAAATTTAATCCTTAAGCCAATTACCTTGGTATTTGAATATATACTCGAATACTTTAAAAAATCAATTTTTATAATGCACACACAAAATTATAGCAAACTTTTAATGAAGACCTTAAATAATTTTCAGATTTCAATAGAAAGAGATAATTAAAGGTTATAAATAACTCTTATTTATATATCTGAGATACCCTTAGAAAATTATACTTTAAGTAGTATACTAAGTTTCATTTCCATTACTAATAAAAATGTTTTAAAATATGAATAACAAATAATAAAACACAAAAACCACAATGATGACTACCTGGATAGCTTGTTCAAAATTGAGAACTTTTCGATTAACTTGGTTTCCAATCATGCCAGCATCCATCTTGGGATCCATCATTTCAATGGCAGACATGGCTTCAAAAAGACCAAATCTACAAATAAAAAAATAGACTCCACAAATTGTTTCTGAACTAGTAAGCTTATCCAGATCTCCACAATGGTAAAAAATTATAATAGTATTTAAAATAATTTCATTATTTTATGTATTTAATATTTAAATCTTTCCAACTTGCTAACACTTCTACTTCACTTAAATAACCTTCCTTTAACACAAAAATTCTTCCATGTATTTGTCAATGAAATTATTTACATGTACTGTGGAGGAAAAAACAAAGATGACTTTTGCACTTCTTTCAATAGGCATTAGAAATTTTTGAAAAAGACATCAACTGATCTATAATAGATTCCAGTTTGCCTTTTTTTTTTTTTTCTTCTCAACTTTATTATTGTTGGGTTTTTCTTTCAGCACTATGAACTTGAAAAAAAGTGAAACTAAGTTTTATAAATTAGTAGTAACATTTAATATTTGGACCACGTTTTAGTCTTGGGTGCTCAAAACACTAGAGCAGCAATGACCAACAGAAATATAATGTGAGCCACATAGATAATTATAACTTTCCTAGTAGCCACACAAAAAAAGTAAAAAGATAAAATTGATTCTAATAATATTTTATTTAACTCAATATGTCCAAAAGTTTTATTTTAATCGATCCTTAGTATTGAAAATTATTAGTGAGATATTTTGCATTCTTTTTTTCATATTAAGCTTTTTATTCCAATGCATATATTATGCCACATTTCAATTTGAACCAGTTGATAGCCATGTGTGGTTACTGGACACCACAGCTCTGGAACTTTGCTTCTAGCAACATCAACACTTCACCTAAGGTCTCTACGATCACCAATTTTCCTTCTTGCTGCTTCTTTAAGTTTTAAGAAAGTAGCATCTTAGAGAATTAGAACCTGTGTTGACATTTAAAAATAAACCAGTAAACAAACAAACAAACAAACAAATAAACAGAACCAGGAGTCTCAGATTAAGTCTAATTTTTCAGGATATCTATCTAAGTGGAATTTTGTTCAAATATAAGGGATAAATAAAACCTCTTGCAGTCATGTCATTTAGATATAACAATTATAGCAATATTTCATAAAGGCTTGACCCTAAACTAGAATCAGTTTGTCACCAGGGCCTTAAAATCATGTTTTGGAAAGATAGACATGCATATATGAAATAATTAAATAACCAAGCAGGACAAGTATTTAGCTAAGCAAAGTAGATAAGGGAAAGTAAGGGTGAAGGGAAAGGAGTGTACAAAGGTATAGAGGCTGGAATTGGCTGGGGTAAAGGGAGCACACAGTCCCTCAGGAGTTTCCTTGCTCTGCCAGCTTTCTTAGTGTTGGAGACCTTCTATGAGAAAGAGGGGAAGCACGATGTAAACTTGCTTTACTCCAGTTAAGGGAGGGTCTATTTCAAATCTCTCTGGTGCCCTTTTATTCCACTGAACTGTGCTTCAGCACAATATCTATATGATGCAGTTTGGGGATTTAAAAAATTGTTTTCTGTACTTATAAATTAGTTTATTTCTGAAACTGATTTAGTTTAATCCCAGTCTGGAGACCCTTACCAATTTTGCAAGCTCAACTGAGTTCTGAGAACGCTTAGTGCTTATGTTCTCTAGTAGTTATGGCCTCTAGAGAGCTGTGCTAGTTTTGGTTTATGAATGCACAGTGAACAAATATATGGGACTCTATAATCCAGGTAATGTGCCAAAGTACTTTGTGTAGAACATTAGTACTATAGCGATTCCATGAAATAAAGTTTCCATGATCAATAGCATTTAGGAAACTCAATACCATAGGGGCTGGGATATTAGCATATTAGCTTGTAGAGTCTTGCAGGAAGGTAATTTTTTACTCAGTTTAATTTAGCACTTTCAAATCAATTAATTTTAGGACACGCCACACCTTCTTCCTTAACACCTTTAAATCCTTGTCCTAAAGATCTGGATTCTGATTATTTTGAAAGTTATCTGACATCTCTATGACATCTTCATGTCTGCATTCTGTATATTCACATTCTTGCATTTTATTACATTTTAAAATAATTGGGTGACCAGTCCTTGACTTTTGTGGAGTAGGATGATTTATTTACTTTTAATTGAATTTACTGGGTGACATAAATAAAATTACAGTTTTCAGGTGTACAATTCTAAAATACATCATTTATATATTGTATTATGTGTTCACCAACTCAAGTCAGTTTGTCTTCTGTAAATAATTTTGTCTACTTAACGTTTAGAAGTTATGCTTGCAATAATCATTATTAAATGTAACTTTCAGAGTTCTACATTTTCTTTATATCTTTAAAGTCCAATAATCTGCACAATACACCCTATACAATGCCTAAAGTTTTAGAAAGTATACAATGAAAGTAATCTAGAAATCCCAACAGCCTAAAATTTGTGTATTAGGCTTATTAGCCACAAAAGCAGGTAGCTGTGATGCACTGTGGACTCAGTAATATTTCATTGACTGAGACAGGCCTCAAGATATGGTGGAGAAATATAAAATATAAAAGAAAGTTTGTAGCTATTTTATTTATTCAACAAATACTTACTGAATCCCTTTTATGTGCTAGGCACTGTGTTAGGAATTTGGGACATGAGTGAGCAAAACAAATTTGTCTGTCTCATGGAGTTTACATTCTAGTGGAACAAAACAAACAATAAGCAATAAAGATAAATTACACAGTATGTTAGAAAACTGAACATGCTAGGGAGAAAAAGGATAGCTAAAGAAGATATAAACTGAAAGGATACAACTAGAATAGATGGGCAGGGTAGGCTATTGTTCCCTGGACTGAGCCTAAAGCCTTGGGGAAATAAAAGGAAGCTAGGTTCCTCTGCCTGTGCTCTCTCAAATCTTGTTCTATAGCTTTTCTGCATCAGCTTACAATTTTGCTTCATTATATTTTTCCTATAATTGTCTGCAACATCAAAATGATGACATCAGTGGTTCTCAAAGTGTGATTCCCAAGATCAGCAGTATCAATCTCACCTGAGAACGTATTAAAAATGCATCTTCCTGGGTTCCACACTAGACTTACCCAATAAGGAACTCTGGGGATGGGGCCCATCAATCTGCTTTTTAAAAAGCCCTTAAAGTTTGAGAAGAACTAAATTTGAGGTTCTACTCCTCCTCCTCAAATGTTCAATATTACTTACTAATTTAAAATTTCATATTTTTAACCTTACAAATTGAGCTTGGATGTAGAAGTATGGAAACTAGGGTTATTTATGGGAGTATAAATATAATTAAGCATTTCCCTTTATTTTCCCTTTCCAGGGACTGAAAAATCTATGCATTTAGTGTAACCTAGCCTCACATATGACAGACAACCAATACCTTTAAGACATTCCACATCCTGTGCATTTAGCCACAAGGAAAGGACCATAAGTCACACTTTTACTGATACAAACATTTGTTTGTTTATCCTCACCCAATATTTTTTGCCATTGATTTTTTTAGAGTGTGGGAGGGAGGGAAGGAAGAGAGAGAGAGAGAGAAACAACCATGTGAGAAAGACATATTAATTGATTGCCTCCTACGCACTCCAACCAGGACTGGGGATTGAACCTGCAACCCAGGTATGTGCCCTTGACTAGAATCAAACCTAAGGCCCTTTGGACCATGGATTGACTCTCTAAATACTGACACAAACATTTCATATCACAAATTAGGGTCCGCTGCCCCAATATAGCTCACTAAGGTTAAAGTTATATTTGTAATTAGTTTTATTTTTATAGCTTTGAATATAAAATATAAAATTACTCAGACTTCAAGGAACACTACTGCACATGAGAAAAAAAAATACTTAGGGCACAATATACTTACAGCTTATCATGAAGCAGTTCTCCCAACTTTAATTCTAAAAAAAACAAAGAGAAAAATCCTTTGAATAATATTATATTTATACTAGAGGCATCGCACACAACTCCCCCATCACGCTTGCAGCCAGCCTTGCTGCGATTGGAGTCTTGCCACGCCCACCCGCCTGTGCCCCAACCACCCGCTGGCCACCAGCCATGCCATACTGCGAGCCTGGAGGACATGGGGAAGGGTCCAGGAGTTGCTCCATGCACCTCATGGTGACCAGTTGTTTGGCCGTTTTGGTCATGACACTTCTTGGCCTTTTATTATTATGATTTAACTTTAAATGCTAAGAAAAAATTAAAACAAAATACTAGTACCTGAAAAATGTCATCATACTGTCACCAAACAGGAGAAACCATTGTAAGAGTTAAAGAAAAGGATATAATGATGTCTGTTTTATTTATTTATTTATTTATTTATTTATTTATTTTTTGTTAATCCTCACTTGAGGATATTTTTCCATTGATTTTTAGAGAGAGTAGAAAGGAGAGACAGAGAGAAATATCAAAGGAGAGAGAGAGAGAGAGAGAGAGAGAGAGAGAGAGAGAGAGAGAGAGAGAGAGAGAGAGAGAGAGAGAGAGAGAGAGAGAGAGAGAGAGAGAGAGAGAGAGAGAAAGAGAGAGAGATATCAATTGGTTATCTCCCACATGCACCCCAATCAGGGCCAGGAATGAAAACTGCAACTGAGGTATGTGCCCTTGACTGGCATCAAACCGGGGACCCTTCAGTTCGCAGGCAGATGCTCTATCCACTGAGCCAAACTGTGTAGGGTTAATGATGTCTGTCTTTTTAAAAAAATATATTTTATTGATTTTTTACAGAGAGGAAGAGAGAAGGTTAGAGAGCCCAAAACATTGATGAGAGAGAAATATCAACTAGCTGCCTCCTGCATTCCCCCTACTGGGGATGTGTCCGCAACCAGGTTACATGCCCTTGACTGGAATGGAACCCTGGATCCTTCAGTCCTCAGGCTGATGCTCTATCCACTGAGCCAAACCCATTAGGGCATGGTATCTGTTTTAAATTTAGTTTTCAGAAAGCTGCTAGAACAGATAGTCCAGGCAATGAATCTAATTATTTCAAAAGGGAAAAACAAATCATTAATACCACAGGCTCATGGTCTGCCAAAAGCCTTTAGTTCTAAATCTACATTTAAATGACAATTCTATATCAACTTTTAGTTACAAGAAGTACACCATTTGTGCCACTTGAGAAAATGCAAGAGCTAATTATGAAGTTAATAGGATGGTTGTTGGCAACAAAATAACATGCTACCCTCTCTCAATCCACACTGAAGCAGAGATTAAACCATATCTCCTACTCGAGGTCCTTCCATGAAGAAGCAGAATTATTCACTTTTCCTCAAACATAAAAACTATTATCTGACTCTAATGGTTCATCTGTTTAGAATAATTTTCTTATGTTCACTTAGAGAAACTCAACCATTTCTTTAAGCCCCAACTTAAGCCATATGTTCTTCATAAAACCTTTCCCATTTAGGTTCATAATAACTGTCCTCTAATATAGATCACTTAAAATCTGTGCAAGATGATAGGTATGATCCACTAATAGTCTAAGATCTCTGAGCACAAAACTGTACTATACCTCACACTTCTTTCTCTCTTCCTTAGATAGACATACTAGTACATGGGCAATCACTCAACTCCCAGTGTAATGTTCTTTTTACTCTCTCTCTAAGGCATATTTTAATTGGACACATATTTTAAGAGTCCAAGAGTAGGCACATGATTTATCATCCTGTTTATACTCAACTGGCTCCCTTTCCATCTGCAGCTGCTCCAAGTCTTCTCTCCTCTCCTGAAGAGCACTGTTCTAAAAACACCCTGCTACACCACCAAAGACCTAACCTTCCTGTTCACTAATATAGAAGCCCTCAACGTGCGAATCCCTGCACCATTCCTCTCCATTCACTTAGAAATACAGGAGTTTGAGCAGTAGGCAGGTTGGCCAACCGCCCATGTCCCCTCCCCCTGGGCAGGTTGGCCAGACCCCACACATGCATGAATTCATGCACCAGGCCGCTAATATATATATGCTGAATGGCCAGATTATGCGTTCAGAGATCATAATAATCTGTCCACTCAGTGTATACCTGTATCTTCACATCCTAACCTCAGTTCCTTCTGTCTCATTATGTCCCTATTTCCCCCCATCCCCAAGTTAATTTCTCTACCATGTTTTTGAGCCAGTCCTCCCTTATAGTTCAAGCTCTCTTTGTTCCTTTCTCTTATCTTCAATCTCCCACCTCAGTAAGGCTCTTTCCCCTCAAACAAACATGCTCATTTATCCAATCATTTATGCCCAAACATTTATCAAATTTACTGTATGTCAGGAAATGTTCTGTGCTAGGGTTACTGACAAGATCTCTGCACTCACAGAGTTACAATCCAGTGGGGGAGACTGATATAAACAATAACTGAAAATGATGATTTATGACAGTAGATAAATGCTATGAAGATAATAAAACAGGGTGATTTAACTGAGCTGGAGTTGGATAGAAGGGGGTAAATCTGCTTAGATTGGTTGTTTTGACAAGTCCTCACTGGAGAGGTAACATTTTAAGTGATCAAGAAGGAACCAGCTATATGAAGACCTAAGGGTAAAGTAATTTAAGGTATGAAAACAAAATATTCAAAGGAGGGACCACCTTGGAGTGTTTAATGCGATAGGAAGGACTTAAAAGTTAACACAGCCCTAGTCAGTTTGGCTCGGTGGATAGAGCGTTGGCCAGCAGACTGAAGGGTCCCAGGTTTGATTCTGGTCAAGGACACATTCCCAGATTGCGGGCTTGATCCTCAGTAGGGGGCATGTAGGAGGCAGCCGATCAATGATTCTCTCATCATTGATGTTTCTTTCTCTCCCTCTTCCTTCTTCTCTGAAATCAATATAAATATATTAAAAAACAAAACAAAAAAACCCATAAAGTAACCCAGTGGGTACAAAATGAAATCTTGCCCTGACTGATGTGGCTCAGTAGGTTGGAGTGTGGTCCTGTACCTCAAAATATGGGTCCCAAGTAAGAGCATATATCCAGGTTGTGGGTTTGATCCCTGGTTGGGGCATGTTCGGGAGGCAACCAATTGATGTTTTTCTGTACGCTGATTTTCTCTCTCTCTCTCTCTCTCCCTCTCTCACTTACTCTCTAAAATCAATAAAAAATGCTAAGCGAAATAAGTCAGTTGGTGAAATAAATATTACATGATCTCACTCATTTGTGGAATATAAGGAACAACATAAACTGCTGAACAAAAATGGAACCAGGTGAAAAAATATTTTAAAATATATAAGTAATCCTGTTATTTGCAGATTTAAAAATATATATATATTTTATTGATTTTTTACAGAGAGGAAGAGAGAGGGATAGAGAGTTAGAAACATCGATGAAAGAGAATCATGAATCAGCTGCCTCTTGCACACAACCACTGGGGATGTGCCCACAACCAAGGTACATGCCGTTGACCGGAATCGAACCTGCAACCTTTCAGTTCGCAGGCTGACTGACGCTCTATCCACTGAGCCAAACCAGTTTCGGCTACTTGCAGATTTTTAATATTTCCTACAACTTTTGTGATATCATACTATGCTAGTACAGTTTTGGTAATGTTATTATATTTAAAATTATTTTTTTCTGAAAACATTAATGTTTACAGCATGTAATATTATATTTAAGATCGGGTTTTTTTTGTGTGGAATAATTGGTGTTTATTGCATGTAACATTATTATATTTAAGATAGTTTTTCTTGAAATATTAAAAAATAAAATAAAAAAACCCCTAAGTCCTAAGGGGGAAAAATAAAAATAAAATCAATAAAAAAAAACATATCTCCAGGTGAAGATTAAAATATATATTTTTATGGTGGGAGGCACCAGATCATAAAAGCCATGGGAAGAAGTTGAAATTTATTCTGTATGCAACAGAAAGCCACTGGAGGATCTTAAGCAGGGCATGGCATAATCTGACCACCTTCAAACCTCAAATAGACAACAATACTACTGTCTTTAGATAAACATATTCCATTTACACAGTTCAAAACTATATATTCTAACCTTTACTTAAAAAGTGAAGAAAATTTTAATAGAAGAAAGTACCTTAATATCTTTATTTAACACACACACACACACACACACACACACACGGGCATTAAATGAAAGTTAAACCTAGAGGATAGAGAATGAATAGTATGATCAACAAACTTACATAAAGCACACTTATCCACTGATTTGATTTACTGAGACAATGCAAAAATCACAATCAAGATTTTAGTTTATCGGGTCTAGTAATACTTAATGTCGTTTTTTAACATTCGTTTAAAATCTTGCTTGGCATTGACTTGTATTGACATAACCTTCAAACACGTGGTATCTACAGAACGTGTGAAGTGCAATTAACAAGTTTTGCTTGAAAAAGTTTGTGTTTGGTTTGGTTTTTGTTGCAAAACTAGGGCTAAAAAGATGGCGGAAGAAGAGCATATTCGGCACTGCATGCTTTACGAGTTCCAATTAGGAAGAAAAGCAAGTGAGGCTGCAAAAAACATCTGTAGTGCTCTTGGTCAAGATGCAGTTAGCGCCAGAAAATGCCAGCGTTGGTTTGAGAAATTTCGCGAGGGAAATTTTTCGTTAGATGACAAGAGTGGTCGAGGCCGTGTGTCCAATTTTGATCAAGAAGCTCTTCAAGCTCTTTTGGTGCAAAATCCTCAAATTACCCTACAAGAGCTTGCGACAACTTTAAATTGTTCACAAAAAACAATTTCCAATCAATTGCGTGCACTTGGCAAAGTCCAAAAGTTTGGAAAATGGGTTCCTCATGAGTTGACCGACAACAACCGTAATCAAAGAGTCACAATTTGCAGTTCGCTCCTCTCTCGTCAAAACCGTTTGCCGTTTTTAGAGCAAATTGTTACTGGAGATGAAAAATGGGTGCTGTACGTTAATTTGAAAAGGCGGCCTCAATGGTTGGACAAAAATGAGGCTCCGCAGCCCAAGCCAAAACCTGACTTGCATGCGAAAAAAGTGATGTTGTGTGTTTGGTGGAATTTTAAAGGAATTCTTCATTATGAACTTTTACCATCTAACCAAACCATTACAAGTGCAGTGTATAGTGCCCAATTGGAAAGGTTAGCCCAAGCTTTAAGAGAAAAAGAACCCGCGCTGATTAATCGGAAGGGCGTAATTCTTCACCACGATAACGCACGACCGCATACTGCAAGAATCACTGCTGAAAAACTGCGCCAGTTGGAATGGGAAGTTCTCCCTCAACCTGCATATTCTCCTGATATTGCCCCTTCCGATTACCATTTGTTTCGTTCTTTGCAAAACTTTCTTCTTGGAAAAAAATTTAATAATGAAGAATGTCTCAAAAATGCATTGACCGAATTTTTTGCATCAAAATCACAAGAATTTTACAACAGAGGGATTAAAATGCTTCCTGAGCGTTGGGCACAAGCAGTAGAAAACAACGGCAACTATATTGTTGATTAAATTTTGTTGTATTGTTTAAATAAATTCGATTTAAAAAAGTATTAGAAAACGACATTAAGTATTACTAGACCTAATACCTTTGCCCAGATTCTGAACTTCTAATCCAAATATCCAAACTCACCTCCGCAAGCTTGTACAAAATCTTGAGTTATGTCCACCCAGTTTGCACTGCTTTTATCCATCTTTTCTGGTATGCTGAGCTCCCATCCTGAATCGTCGTCTTCCACGGACGCTTTCATCACCATTATGTCTGCAAAATGAATAGTGGTGTAAAAGAGGAGGATGGACGTAGCTCTCAGGGCCAGCCTATTTGCAAGCCATGTGCGTTTAAGTATGGGATGGAAACCTTAACCCAAGTGTTTAAGTCCAGCTCTTCTGAGTTTGAGGCCGGTATTGGGGGAAAAAAAAAATGTCTTCATACAATTAAGTCTCACCATAATTAACACGACTGCGGCTCGTTTACTTAGCCAACCCCCTACCAGAGCTCATAAAGAGTTTGCCTTCTACCTATTTCAGGAGAAAAAGAAAAAAAAATCACACCTCCTGCCAGCACTGGCCCGAGCAGAACCAACTCCAGAGCTCCCAACATGCAACTCGGGCCGCCACTGACCCAGGCGTTCTTCGGGGTCCCCGCTCCCAGCTATCCCGGTCAGGGTGACCGCCCACCTGCCGGGGTTGGGGGAGGGGGGTGGGGTGGGGCCCAGAGCAGGGGTGCACCTGAGCGGGGACGCGCACCCACACCCCACCCGGCTCAGCACGCCCAGGCCCCACAGGGCGCCAAAGCAAGGATAGGGCGGGATGCGGGCACACCTCGGATTGGGGCTTCATCCCGGTAACACCCGTCAAGGCCGGGCCTCGGCGGGCAGCGGGTATCCGGGTACTCGGGCTCCTACCTGAGGCGCGGCGGTAGGACCGGGGCCGCAGGGTGACCTGGCGTCCCCAGGATCTGCCACAAGAGCCGGGTCTGAGCGTTCACACACGGGAGACAGGAAGTCTCAATGGCTCCGCACGGGCGGTCCCTACCAACCACTCCAGTGGCTACCGCGCCGCCACGCACCGAGCAGACCGCGGAAATAACGACGCCTCCCCTGCCGCCGCCCCCTCCCCTCAGCTCCGCACGCCTAGCTGCGTGCGCGCCTGCGTACGCCCGGAGCGCGCGACCCCGCCCCCCTCACTGGCTCCCGGGGACTTCGCGCTCTCCGGCCACGCCCCTTCCTCGCCACTGCCACCGTCTGGCCTATCGCTGCCGTCTTCTCTTCTCGCGTAAATATAGCCAATCGCGAGACCGGAAAAATACCTTTCTTCACCAGCTACGGCCCAGTCCCAGGGTAGTGGGCGGGGCCCAGTAGTGGGCGGGGCCTGGGGACAGCCCGCCCCGCGCGGCTCCCTGGGAAATTCTTGGAAAGGTGACGTGAAGGCTCCAGGAAGTCATGGAGGAGTCAGGAGACCCCATCAGGTGCGGTCTCGAATGAAGGGCCGGCTCCTGGATTTATACCGAGCTAAGGGCTGCCCAGGTTTATGTTTTCTGAAGAGCGCCTGCGAGTTTCTTGAGAAAAAAAAAAAAAAGAAACAAAACATCTGCAGGGTCAAGCTATCCATTTTCTTTCAAACTCATACAAAAAAATTTTATTAAAAGAATCAGTTTTGAAAAAGAAGATACCAAATGTGAACTAGGACATAGAGCAACTAGACCTTTCTTGTTGCTGATGGGAATGCAAAATGGTTGCAACTACTTTGGTAAAGTTTGTCTTCACTATAAAGTCATGCACTTCAGTGTTTCAGCAATTCCGCTGCTAGGTATTTACTTAGGAATAAAAATGTGCTTGTATGTTAATTTTCATAGTGTTATTTTTTAAATAGTGGCCCAGTACACAAAATTCATGCACTAGAGGGGTATGTCTCTCTTCCCAGACTGCACCCTCTCCAATCTGGGCCCCTTGGGGGATATCCCTCTATCAGTTTAGGACTGCTGGTTTCTAACCACTCGCCTGATTGCCTGCCTGATTACCCCTAACGGCTCCCCTGGCGGCCTGATCACCCCGAACTGCCCTCCTTTGCTGGCTATCTTTTGCCAACATGAGAGTGCCATCTTGTGATGCCAGGGTGTGAGGATCAATTTGCATATTATCTCTTTATTATATAGGATGACAAAAAACTGGAAACAACCCAAATGTTCATCAACTGGTGAACTTGGGGCATAGCCATATGATGTAATTAATAGTAGTTACCAACAAATAGTTACCCAGGTGAACTATTTAACATGCAAAAATACATCTCAAAATAAATTATGTTGAGCAAAGGAAATCAGAGTTTGGGCAAAAGAGTATGATTCCATCTATATGAAACAACAAAAAGACAAATCTAAACTACAATGACAGAAAACAGAACAGTGACTGCTGGGGGTGTTAAGAAATGATTAACTGAAATAGGAGTAGGTGATCCGAGGTGATGGAGATGTTTTATATCTTGATTATGGCGATTGTTATATGGGTGTATGCACGTGTAAAAATTCCTTTGAAATAAAAAAATGCATTTTATTGTTTGTAAGCCAAACCTCAATAAAGTTGATCTAAAATAATAAAGAATACATCTTTATGTTTTACAGAATAATACATTTCCTAAGGGCAGGAGCTTTGCCTATTTTGATTAAGCTTGTATTGGCAGCATTTAGGACAATGGTTGGCATATAGTAGGCACTCACTAAATACACTGAGTCCAGAACCCCTGTGGCTCAGTGGTTAAGCATTGACCCAATAAACCAGGAAGTCACTGTTCCATTCCTGATGGGGCAAATGCTGGGGTTGTGTAGGAATCAGCCAGTCAATGTTTTTCCCCCTCTCTCTGCCTTTCCCTTCCTCTCTAAAAATCAATAAAATAATCTTTAAAAAAGAAAGGAAGAAAGGAAGAAATAGCCAAATGTCTGTCCCTTATGGCTTTGTCTCATTGAAGGAGAAAATAATCTTTACTGTGCTATATTACTATAGTCCCAGCAATATGGGTAACATGACACATTGCAAGAAGTATGTTGCTACAAAATAAAACATGTTGGTTGTGGAAACTGCAAAGTAAATAGAAAAATTTAAATTTGTCTTCCCTTAAATGTTACACTAAATAGTTACTGTTCGGTAACCTAAATTAGTTTTTAATGTTTGTTAACCTCCACACTAACTTTTAAGTATATTTGTTATAAAACCAATATAAAAACTACCCATATCCTAGCCGGTTTGGCTCAGTGGATAGAGCATTGGCCTGTGGACTGAAGGGTCCTGGGTTCAATTCCAGTTCAGGGCACATGCCCGGGTTTTAGGCTCAATTCCCAGTAGGGGACATGCAGGAGACAGCCAATCAATGATCCTCTCTCATCATTATGTTTCTATCTCTCCTCCCATTTGAAATCAATAAAATATATATCTTTTTTAAAAAGTTACCCTTACTTGTAAGCCTAATATAGAAATCACCCATAATTCTAGGCTGAAAGAAGACCTTTGTTCAAGAATGTTCAAGATCTTTACTCATTTTTCCATGAATATACAACATATGCTTTTATTTTGTCTTATTAAAAGTGGGTTCTTACTGTACTTACTGTTTTATATTCTATTTTTAACTTCAAAATGGAGTATGAATATATTTCACATTAATAAAAATTGTAGAAAACTCAGACACAAATACTATTCCACTCAGGATTGTGGTTATTTCTCCTTTGTGATTTCTTGTCTTGTTGGTTTTTTACCTTATCAGGTTTGCAAAAAGTTTATGTAGCCGAAACCGGTTTGGCTCAATATAATAGATAGAGTGTCGGCTCACAGACTGAAGGGTTCCCGGTTTGATTCCGGTCAAGGGCATGTACCTTGGTTGTGGGCACATCCCCGGTGGGGCATGTGCAGGAGGCAGCTAATCGATGATTCTCTCTCATTGATGTTTCTCTCTATCCCTATTTCTTCCTCTCTAAAAAAATCAATAAAATATATAAAAAAAAGTTTATGTAGTTCACACAATTTTTTCCCATTTGTATTTTTCCACCAGAACCAGCTTTTTATTTTTTTATCCTTTTTGTATGTTTTCTAATTTATTAATTTTTAAATGCCATCCTTATTACTAACTTCTAAGACTCTTTTAATAGTCCTTTCCTAATTTTATAAGTTGAATAGTTCTTTAATTTTTATTATTTGTATTTAATGAGGACACTTGAGATGCTAAAGCTTACTTCTAGCGGTTTTGTTTATAACATTTTTTTCTATTCCTATTGATTTCTTTATTTCATGGGAGAGCGACTACAGCGTTTGGACAGGTTCAAGACTCGGACTAATGAGAGGCACAGTCCTCTTGTGGCAAAGCCATGAGCAAGTCCCAGCTTGGAGGCAAAGCCCTCCCAGCACAATTATAGCCAAAGGCTTTAGTTGTAAGCTTGACCTTATGGTCTGAACCTGTGGTCCCAAGAGGCTAAGAGATATGGGCTTGATATAGTTCAGGTGCATATAATTGAGTAGATTCGAAACTGCGAGAACATTATAAACATTTTGACCATGCTCTTGCTTTGCCTCGTCAGATCTGACTATAAAATACTCGGCTTATAGGCTGTGGCACTGTCTCTCCATCCGAGAACAGTGTCCCATCTAGTCCCAGATGTTATTCTCTTGTCTGTCTTCTTTAATCCTCATAACCCCTGCCCTCCCTCAGGTTCACTCTGGGCTTGCTAAACACGGCACAATTTCATCTTTTAAAAATTCCACCTTTATTTATTTATTTTTTTAATGTTGAGGGGCCACCCTGGCCAGTTTTGCTCAGTGGATAGTGTTGGCCCATGGACTGAAGGGTCCCAAGTTCAATTCTGCTCAAGGGCACATACCTTAATTGCAGGTTCTATCTCGACCTTGATCCTGATTCATGTAGGAGGCAACCAATTGATGTGTCTCTCTCACCCTGATGTTTCTCTCTATTCCTCCTCCTCCCTTCCACTCTCTGTAAAAATCAATGGAAAAATATCTGCCCATGAGGATTAACAAAAAATAAAATAAAAATGTGAGGGGTCAACTATTGGTGTATTTTTAATCTTTATTTTAAATGTTATTGGTTAATAATCAAATAGGATCCCAAAGTACTAAGATTTCATGATGATATGCTAAAGTATAAATCTATTTTCTTTATTTCCATCATTTTTCTGGCCATTAAGTGTACCCTTTAAATGTAAAAATACCTATCGTTCAGTTCTCAGGAATTTCCTTAAATTGTATTTTATTGTATCCTC